GGGAATCCATATTTGCAACGCGTTTGGTTCCTTAAAAAAAACACCACCAGGGAAAGTACACGGGATTTACGAATCATGTCATAAGGAAATCATTATATAAAACATGGACAAAATATAAGGATCTCCGAGAACCGAAAACACCATGGTGGGCATCACCTCTAGAAGCAATTACAATAAAAAAGAAAAATATGGAATTAGAATGGGCCACATATAAAGATCTGATTAGGGGAAAAGACAATAAATTGGTAATTAAAGATTATGAGGAAATTAAACAACACCTTACGGGTTGGATCCAGTACCATCAATTACATGAAGTGTTCAGGACATTAAAAAAAAGGTTTCTCAAACGAACCTTCATGATTAGAAAAAGTGTTATTACAAAACAAAACAAAGGTAATATCAAAAGACGAACAGGTCAAGGAGGTAATGATCAAGTGGGCTTTAGATATTGGAAAAACCATTAACTTATCAGCATGGGAAGAAATATGGAGAAAGAACTGGAAATTTACAGCCTGTGAAGTATTGAGGGAAAACCTAATCAAGATGTTTTATAGATGGTACTTAACACCTACCAAAATAGCTAAGACAAAAACAGATCTGTGCTGGAGGTGTGGTAAAACAGAGGGGACACTTATACATGTTTGGTGGACCTGTGAAAAAATCAAAGCTTCTGGAACACAGTGTATGATGAGCTTAAGAAAATGTTTAAGTGTAACTTTATGAAAAATACAGAAGCTTTTCTACTAGGGATAACGGACACAGGTATAGCAAGAGAAGATCAGAAAATATTCCTCTATGCCAGTGTTTCCCAACCGGTGTTCCGCGGCACACTAGTGTGCCGCGAGATGTTGCCTGGTGTGCCGCGAGCGAGTCCAAAAAAGGTTGGGAAACACTGGTTTCTCTTTCAAAAAGGAAACGTGGGTTAAAGCGGCGCCGCCGCCTCCCACTCACTTTCCTGCTCTGGCTTCCCTAACAGTTTTCCGAGTTGCGTCACTGGATCCAGCCCCCTTTTCCACATGTGACACGGGGCTGGAGGGAGGGAAAGAGGGCTTTACGTCGCGCACAAAGGCAGCCTCCTAGAAGCGCTCTGGGCCGGCGCCGTTTCGCCGAAGGCACCGGAGGACCCCCCACCCTCAGCTCCTTCAGAAAGGAAGCCCCGCCCCTTGGCTCCCTACGCCGCCAGGCAGCTCAGCTGACTGACGAGGACGTTCTGCGGCGGCGGCGGCCGCACAACCACCGCAGTTTCTGGCAGCGTCCACAGCGCAATAAGTAACAGCGCCTGGTGCTGCCAACTTTCTCTCTCTCTCCCGCCCCCAAGCTCTCGCGCGCCCCGCGTCAACATCGCCGCGCGCAGCTTCCTGAGCTCGAGGCCAGCCGCTGCACGCACGCGCCGGCTCGTCATCGGCTCCGGTTGTTGCCTTTCTCCGCCGAGGTCGGTGGACCCCAAGCCTAGACTTCCTTCCCGCACCCCGCTTTCCGAAGACCGCACACCAGTTGGGCCAGTACATATTCCCCTCCCGTGACTGGAGCGGAATAGCCCTTTCTCTTCTTCCCCAACCCTTGTCGTTGGAGGAGTCCCTCAGTCCCTCGCTTTGCTGCCTCCTCCCCCCCCACTCCCAAAGCTTGGAGGTTCCCCGGCAAGGGGGAGGGAAAAAAATTGAAAGTTACACTTTCGTGCGTCCCTCCCGGCGTGACGCTGTGCGCTGACGTCACGGGGCTGTAATGGTGGTGTGCCTCGAGATTTTTTTCATCAAACAAGTGTGCCTTTGCCCAAAAAAGGTTGGGAAACACTGCTCTATGCCACAGGAGCGGCGAGGATCCTAATTGCTAAAAACTGGAAAAAAGAAACTGTGCCAACAAAAAAGGAATGGCAAGATAAACTGTTAGAGTATATTGAACTGGCTAGATTAACCGAGACAGAGATCACACTAGACAAGAGTTTTTAAAAAGCATGGGGAAAATGCAGAGAAAACTTCACAAAACAGTGCCCTAGAATACATACCTGGACTTGTTTCAATTAATGTCTGCAGGAGACTTTGTGGATATTTAGGTTATAATTAGAAAAATCTTAATAATTATTCATAAAGGAAACAGTTTATAAGTAAATGAGGCCAGATACAGGATAAAGGAAGTCTTTTATTTGGTTGTTTGTATTATTGTATGTTATGCCCACTGTGTTATGTTCATGTTTAAAGAGGATGGATTTGTGTATTGGTTGGGAGGGGGTTGTGTAATGTTGTAAATAAAATTCCAATAAATTTTTTTTAAAAAAAAATTAAAACCACTACTAGACCTAGATGGGCAGGTGTATAAATTTATTTATTTATTCTTATTCTTAAAGTTTGGATCGGCCCCTACAAATATTGCAAAAAATAGCACCTTGCATCAGTCTGCTGTTCTGAGAATTAAAAGGTCTAAGACAGGGGTCAGCAACCTTTTTCAGCCATGGGTCATTCCACTGTCCCTAGGACCTTGTGGGGGCCAGACTATATTTTTTTTTTGGGGGGGGGGAATCTAAACCAATTCCTATGCCCAGAGAGGCATTTTAAATAAAAGGACACATTCTACTCATGTAAAAACACGCTGATTCCCGGACCGTCTGCCAGCTGGATCCTGAAGGTGACTGGGCCGGATCTGGCCCCCGGGCCTTAGTTTGCCTACCCGTGGCTTATAGCACGGGTGTACAACGCATTGATCCTGAGCCCCCAGTCCATCCTGGGGTTGTCTCTGGTCGATCGCAGGGCCTTTCTCTGCAACCTCTGCTGCTGCCATTCTCCACAGCGCTGCAAGCTTGAGCTGCAAGTCCCTCCTCCTTCTCTCTCATGCTCCTTCCTCCGAAGCTGGCTTGCCATCCTTCCCGCTGTGCTCTTGGGGGATAGTGTGGTAGGGAGGGGATGCTGCCTTCACAGAGGGAGAGCTGGAGGGAGGAAGGGAGGGATAGAGAGCAGCAGTGGAGCCCCCCACCCTGAAAACCCCGGATGGATACACAGCTTTGTGAAAGAGGCTCTTCCTGAACGAGGACAAATAGAGGGCTGGCAATGGGCAGACGGCGGCGGTGGCGTAACGTCAAGATGTTGCCTGATGTCAGTTTTCCCTTTGGAGGCTTGCTGATTTTGGAGGGTCTCCTCACTGAGGGAGAGACTGGAGGGTTCAGCACCCCCAGCCCCCTCCCCCGAAAGAGGCAATTGATGAAGCAACAGTTTAATGTTGGAGCTTTCCGTCTCCTGCCAGCAAGTTGCAAAGCGGGCAACAGATCAGGGCGCATTAAAAGCAAGCGACAAATTAGTGAGATGGATAGGGCTCCAACTTACCCTTCGGAGTTGACACCAAAGTAACATCACAAGAGGCAAACATGCCTTCCTAAGCAGCGGAGGGTTTGCTAGGACATTGGCATGGCCTCTTCTCTTTGTTTGGTTCAGATCCTTCTGCCCCCAGGAGGCAGCTGTGCACACGCATTCTGCACTTTTGTCATCAGAAGCCCCTTTCTCCGGGTTGGGGAAACCCTGATGCTGCTAGAAGGTGCTGTCAGAGAACCTCCCGAGCCAGTCCCCTGTGCTTGGTCCCAGAGCTGTGGGGAGCCTCACCAGGAAAAGTGATGGTGGCGGCAGCGGCAGGATGGGACCAAGCAACCATCCTAGCTTGTTGTTTGTGGCCAGAGTAGGGTGTGTGCTGCTGCTGTTGTGTGGGGCTTGAGGGGAGAGAGCTGCTTTAAACTCCCCCCTCCCGCATTGAGTTAGCCACCTCCTTCCACACAAGCACACCCTGCATGCAAGTGTTAATTGGGTCTGTATTTGGATGGTTTGGATGGTGCTGCTGCTGCCCTGAGCAGACAACACAGACATCACTGACCCACTTCAGAGCTTCTTTCTCTAGCCCTGGCTACTGCCCGGAGAAGCAGCACCCGGTGAGAGCTACAGCACACTCCACTAACCCGGCCAATGACCTTCTGGGGTGGGGCAGAGATCAACAAACAGAACAGTTTGGCCCCGAGGGGGTGTAAAATAAACACAGCTTAAAACAAGTGTCAAGGGAGGGGGCGGGGAGAGTATGTTTAAGTTGAAGAATGACAATGGGTAGATCACTGCCATTTTTTGATACTGAGTAGTAGATCACAACCTATTTGAAGTTGGACTAGTTTTCTATCTTGTGGTAACCTCCTTTCCAACTATGCTCAGAAAGAATGTCCCCGATCCCACCCCCCATAGATATTCTTTTAATTCTTCATGGATGCTGCTCCATTTTTTTTAAAAAAAAACTTTTTCGCATCCCCATGTGTGTGATTTCCTTTCCAGTTCTTCCAGCTGCTGTGATTGCATATAGCAGGGGTCAGCAAACCTATTCAGCAGGGGGCCAGTCCACTGTCCCTTGGACCTTGTGGGGGGCCGAACTAGATTTTTTTTGGGGGGAAATAATGAACGAATTCCTATGCCCCACAAAAAACAGCATAAACCTGGTGAACTTTTAATTCCTTACCCCAACAGTTATGGTTCGTGGTTTCCCATTTAATTTGATTTCCAATGTGAGTCAAACTGTATTTTAAACTAATCGTTTGATATTATGTTTTTTAAAATAATCATTTGATATTGTATTTTTAATGTATTATATATTTGAGGCCGGTCTTGGCTGGGGTATAACATTATTATTCCTCCTCCTCCTCCTCCTCCTCCTCCACGGGTCACGTGGCCAGCGTGACAAAGCTGCATCTGGCGAGCCAGCGCAGCACACGGAAACGCCGTTTACCTTCCCGCCAGTAAGCGGTCCCTATTTATCTACTTGCACCCGGGGGTGCTTTCGAACTGCTAGGTTGGCAGGCGCTGGGACCGAGCAACGGGAGCGCACCCCGCCGCAGGGATTCGAACCGCCGACCTTTCGATCGGCAAGTCCTAGGCACTGAGGCTTTTACCCACAGCGCCACCCGCGTCCCTAATGAATCCAATAACCACACTAATAAGCAAACTCAATAAAAAAATATTGCCAAAAAAACAGAAGAAACGCTCCAAGTCAGTGATTTTCATTTTTATTTGTCCGACACTTATCTGGAAATAGAAGCCGTTACAGTGAGCAAGCAGAAAGAAACACAACGGGAGGAAAGACCCCTTCTTCCCTCGCCTTTTTAAAAACTACACACAGTGGTTAACCTTTTCAGGACATCTTCTTCTGGCGGAAAGCGAAAGCTCAACTCCCTAGTTTACTCCCAAGTAGATGTGTAGCCTTTCTCCACCGGCGGCAAAATTCAGAATTCTTCGCCATAAAAAGAAAGCGCCGGGCACGGGGGCAACTAAATGCTTCTCATCAATATTATTATCTATATCTAGAGAATCGATATAACCCAGCCCATAATAAGCCCAAATGAAGGGAACTGGTGCTGCAAAGATTGAAGATTTAACCTCAGGGCCCGGGACAAATGCTTCTTGCTGATATTATCTATATATAGATCATCGATACAATCCAGCCCATACTAAGCCCAAACGAAGGCAACTGACGCTGCAAAGATTTAAGGGTTGACCCCAGGGCTCGGGTGACTAAATGCTTCTTGCTGATATCTATATATAAATAATCGATATAATCCAGCCCATATTAAGCCCAAACAAAGGGAACTGCAAAGGTTTAAGCACAGCTCAGGGCGCCGTACCTGAGGATCAAATTCGGAATACAACGAAAGGCGCGTGAGGCCGGCCACAGATATAAATTATTGGCACGGATCCATGTGCAGCACCACCGCGAGCACGGAAAATGCACCACTCTTAATCTTTTTGGCGTTGGGCAGGGAAGCAATTTGGAAAACAACCCATCAGATACAAGCTTTGCCCTCAAATCAATCATTTTGTGGGCTAAAAGCTGGTCAACGATACTTTGGATGTGAAAAAGGAGGTTTGCGCTCGACCGTGGTATTTCCAAAAAGCTTGCCGAAGTCAGGCGGAAACCCATACTTACCTGGAAGAGCTGCATTTGACAAAGTCAAAGCGCCGGCGGCCCAGCACATAATTGTTCCATCAACTGAGAAGCGCACGTCCGAATACGCCAACCTGGGCAAAAACCAACGCTCTTCTATTCAGTTTTCAGCCTTGATGGCGGTGTGCAGGCCTGCGCCCCTGTACATAATTTGATGCCTCCCTGGAAGGATGCGCGGTTTGGCACCGGGTTGCTATCCTCCCCCCCACTTTACGCATTTTTTTGGCGCAGTCAACCCGGTGTGAATTGCAGCTGAAAAAGCCAAAACTTAAATTGCATTTGCTTTTTCCGTGCAATCGACCCGGCGTGAATTGAAGCTGAAAGAAACAAAACTTTAGGTCTTAAATTGTGCTTGCTTTTTCTGCACAGTCGACCCGGCATAAATTGAAGCAAAAAACAAACAACAGTAGCCCCAGAGAGAAGTCCAAGATTAAGAAAGCGGATGTTGGTTTGAGTGGTTTATAAAACCCGTAAAAGCTGCGGCGCGTTTATCCCTTCCATCAACCTTGGAAGAAGGATGCGGACTTAAAATGCTGTTAAAAGAGAGCCACTGACGGACCAAGAGGAATTCTTAACAATGTTATCTTTAAAAGCTCCAGATTTGTGTAGGAAGGGAGGGGGGGGGAGAAAAGAGACTTGTTCATGGGAAATCCGAATCAACTGACCATCTGTTCACGCCTCCCCGCGGCAAGAAGATCCAGAAAAGAGGGTTTTTTCAGGGGGTCGAAAATTGCTGGCCTCCCCGTCATGCAAGAACTAGAGTCACCGGTTGCCACCCAAATCACATCCTTGGCTCCCGCTTCCCTCTGCTCCGGAAGGAGGGACATATCCTGAAGGATTTATATTCCGTGGCTCCGGATCTTTAGGCTGATTCCCCAGTCTCGGCGGGCTTGAGGATGTGGTCTGGTTTGTGGCCGGCGGAGAAGTGGTCCCACATCAGGAGGTAGAGCCGCTCCAGTTCCAGGGTGTACTGCTTGGTGTTGAAGAGGGGGCTGGATATCCTCTGCTTCCACACCTTGCCGCGGATCTTCTTCAGGCTACGTGAGAAAAACGTTCGTTTATTATTAATTAATTATTAGTAATCCATTTATTAATCAACATTTCATTGATTTTCCCGAAAAGGAAAAAACAGGGGAAATCACAAACAAATTAAACGGTAATTTGGGTGGGGTCAACCTCCCTCCGCTCCCCCCTCAGTTCCATTCTAATACTTGTATATTTATTATTGCAAAAAGGAAACATTCCTCCAATTGTCCAAATTAAGAGGATGCCAGCAAGGTGGAACCTTTCTGTAAAACAAGAATTTTACGATTCCCAAAAGGAATCCCCCCCTTGGTTCCTTTCTAATATACGTGTTCATGCACGTCCATAAAATCCAATATACCGTATTATTTTTCTGTCTATGAGACGCCCCCCATTTTTGCAGCAACAACCAATTGCCAGTCCACCCTCGGCACTATCTATGTATAAGATGCCTGTCTTTAGCACCTGCTCTTTGCAAACTGTTGTTGTTGTTGATGATGATGATGATGATAATAATCATAATCATAATGATAATAATGAGAGCCAGTGTGGTGTAGTGGTAACGGCGGTAGTCACGTAATCTGGGGAACCGGGTTCGTGTCTCCGCTCCTCCACAAGCAGCTGCTGGGTGACCTTGGGCCAGTCACACTTCTCTGAAGTCTCCCAGCCCCACTCACCTCACAGAGTGTTTGTTGTGGGGGAGGAAGGGAAAGGAGATTGTTAGCCGCTTTGAGACTCCTGAAGAGGAGTGAAAGGCGGGATATCAAATCCAAACTCTTCTTCTTCTTCTTCTTCTAATGAAGATGAAGTATGCAAAGAGCATGTCTCAATGAGTGCCTGTCTTTAGCAACTGCTCTTGCAAACGGAAGCGTGGCACTGAAATTGGAAGCGTGGCACTCAAAACGGAGTACGTTTGGCTTCCAGAAAAAGTCCACAAACCAGAACACTTCCTTCTGAGTTTGCAGCGTTTAGCTTCTGGGTCGTTTGAGTGCCAAGGCGTTTGAGCACCAAGGTGCCACTGTATTCTAGGAAGATTTTTCTCCAAAGAAACATGATGCTGAATGCTACCTTCGGGTTTCGTGAGCTGCACAACCAACGCCGCGGCCTCTCTCAACCCCAGTTGCATGTCTACTTACTATTCTGGATCGGTCCCCAGTTTCACGGCGACGTCTTCGTATTCCTGTCGACTCTTCGCGATGAGCTCGGGGCACCCGAGGCAAGTGAGCTGGGAGGCAGCGACGCGTGAGGCGAGGGTTTCCCCTGCAAAACGGAGGGCAGCAGGTCATACAAAGCTCCGTTGCAAGCATGGTCTGTCCTCATCTTGTTGAGCAAACTAAGTGCCAGGGGCTGGATCCAGCCCAATCGCCTTCTTAATCCAGCCCGCGGACATGTGTTTTGACACGAGTAGAATGTGTTCTTTTATTTCAAATGCATCTCTGGATGATTTGTGGGGAATAGGAATTCGTTCATTTCTTTTTTCCAAAATATATTCCGGACCCCCACAAGGTATGAGGGACAGTGGACCAGGCCCCTGCTGAAATAGTTTGCTGACCCCTGCCCTATCCTCTATCCCTAACTCCTATCTCTAGCCCCTATCCCTATTTCTAAGCCCCTAACCCTAAGCCCTATCCCTAATCCCTGCCGACAAAGTTTGCAGACCCCTGTTGTTGAGGAACATCTTCTTGGTGGATTAAGGGAAGGGCCCAAGTAGAAGTGCCCATTGCCCAAACTAGATAACCCAAGTCTTCCTTCCTTCCCACTAGCGTAACCATCTGGCTCACAACCAAGCCCTTGGGATACATAGGCCAACCTCCTGACCATCCCCCAGAACACCCCCCTGGTGGGAATCTCAGGTCCAACTCAAAGCAACATGTCTCAGCACCCAATACCAGAACAATATGCATAATCATTGTAATCATCACAGTATTGACTCGAGCTGCCATCTCACCTGGCATGGTCACCATGGGGGTTCCAGCCCAGAGGACATCCATCCCGGTGGTGTGGCCATTGCAAAGGGGGGTGTCCAGGCAGACGTCGGCCAGCTGCCCCCTCCTCACATGCTCCTCTTTGGGGGCGACCGGAGAGAAGATGATCCGGTTCTGGGGGAGGCCCATGTTCTGTGCATACTGCTGGATGTTTGGTTCCCCCACAGCTGGGAAACGCAGCAGCCACAGGACGCTGTTTGGGACACGTTTCAGAATCTGCAAGTAATAGCAATAACATTAACAATAACAATAATAATTTATTATTTCTACCCCGCTCATCCGGCTGGGTTTCCCCAGCCACTCTGGGTGGCTGCCAACCAAATATTAAACAGAATAAAACATCAAACATTAAAAGCTTCCCTAAAGAGGGATGCCTTCAGATGTCTCCTAAAAGTCTGATAGTTTATTTCTTTGACATCTGATGGGAAAGGGAGCCACCACTGAGAAGGCCCTCTGTCTGGTTCCCTGTAACCTCACTTCTCGCAGGGAGGGAACCACCAGAAGGACCTTGGGTGAGGGACCCCGGAGTCCAGGGTGGAGATGCTCCTTCAGGTGGGGTCTTATCCTGCGTCCCAGACGGAGCTGCCCTGGACACAGAATGGACAGAGGTGAGTCCAAAATGACTCCCAGGCTGCGCACCTGGTCCTTTAGGGACAGTTACCCCGTTCAGAACCAGGGAGTCCTCCACACCAGCCTCTCCCCTGTCCCCTAAGTACAGGACTTCTGTCTTGTCAGGATTCAACCTCAATCCGTTAGCCACCATCCATCCTCCAACTGCCTCCAGACACTCACACAGGACCTTCACTGGTTCAGATATGAAGGAGAGGTAGAGCTGATCCGCATACTGATGGAAACACCCAGCCCCAAATCCCCTGGTGATCTTTCCCGGTGCATTCATATCAATGTTAAAAAGCATGGGGGAAGAGGCACCCCACAAGTGAGAGCCCAGGGGTCTGAACACTCATTCCCCCCCCCCCCACTTTCTGGATGTAGCCCAGGAGGAAGGAGCAGAACTACTGTATAACAGTGCCCCCAGCTCCCAGCCCCTCTAGACGGTCCAGAAGGATGTTATGGTTGATGGTATTCAAAGTCCGCCGAGAAATGCAGCAGAACCAATAAATAATAATAATAAATTATTTATACCCCGCCCTCATTGGCCAGGGCCAGGCTCAGGGCGGCTAACACCAAATATAAATTACAATAAAATGTAATAGAAAAAAAACCCAATGAATTAAAATACGGCTTAAAATACAGCCTCATTTTAGTAGTAGCCCATAAATCAAGACTATAAAGGGAGGAAACATCAGCTATTCACCCGAGCTAGCTATCCATGCTGGATGGGCCAGCAAAAAAGCCACAGGAAAATTTATATGCCAAATCCCATAGGTGTCAGAGTGAGTCTAAGCCGAAGGCCAGGCGGAACAGCTCCGTCTTGCAGGCCCTGCGGAAAGATGTCAAATCCCGCAGGGCCCTGGTCTCTTGTGACAGAGCGTTCCACCAAGTTGGGGCTAGAGCTGAAAAGGCCCTGGCCCTAGTTGAGACCAATCTAACCACCTTGTGGCTCGGGACCTCCAAAGTGTTGTTATTTGTGGACCTTAAGGTCCTCTGCGGGGCATACCAGGAGAGGCGGTCCTGTAGGTACGAGGGTTCTAGGCCACATAGGACTTTAAAGGTCAAAACCATCACCTTAAACCTGACCCTGTACTCCACCGGGAGCCAGTGCAGTGGCTGAATGTGATCCCGCAGTGAGGACCCCGTAAGGAGCCTCACCGCGGCATTCTGCACCTGCTGGACTTTCTGGGTCAGCTTCAAGGGCATAGCGCGAGTTAAAATAATCAAGCCTGGAGGTGACCATCGCATGGATCACTGGCCAGATCAGGGCGAGAAAGGTAAGGAACCAATTCCTTAATATGGCGGAGGTGGAAAAATGCCACCTTGGCTGTGGCTGCAACCTGCGCCTCCATGGAAAGAGAGGCATCAAAGGTTACACCCAAGCTCTTGACAGAAGGCTCTGGCACTAATTGCGCCCCTGCAAGAGATGGGAGTTGGCCCCCCAACCCCATGTTGTCCTGACCCAGCCAGAGGACCTCTGTCTTCGAAGGATTTAACTTCAACTGGCTCCCATGCAGCCACCCAGCCACGGCTTCCAAGCATCTGGTCAGTGTGTCTGGGGCCGAGTCAGGGTGGCCGTCCATTGACAGATAAAGCTGGGTGTCATCAGCATATTGATGACAACCCAGCCCTAAACTCCGGACAATCTGGGCAAGGGGGCACATAAAGATAATGAAAAGCATCGGGGAAAGGATTGTGCCCTGCGGCACTCCACACAACAAGGAGTGCCGCAGCGACAACTCCCTTCCTGGATGTTTCATCCAGAAACCTACCAAAATGTTCGGTAACCGCTCTCTCAATTACCTTACCTAGGTACGGAAGATTCGAAACCGGGCGGTAATTGGATAGATCTAAAGGATCTAGAGATGTTTTCTTTAAGAGGAGACACACCATTGCTTCCTTCAACTCCCCTGGGAAAGTCCCTGTGCCAGATTGATGATCTCACCCGGGGGCTGCACCTCGTCTGGACATGCTCTAATCAGCCAGGACAGGCACAGGTCAAGGGGGCAAGTGGTGGGCCTTCCAGCTCAGAGGAATCTGTCTACATCGGCAAGGAGAAACAGTTTTCACCTTTGTCCCTAGCCCCCTGGAGATCCTTGATCGGCGCGACCAAGGCAGTTTCAGTCCCATGATGAATTGGAAAGGATCCAAATGGTCTGCATCCTCCAGGCGTGCCTGGAGTTGTTCTGCAACCACCCACTCAATCCCCTTGCCCAAGAATGGAAGATTTGAGACTGGGTGATAGTTGGCCATATTGGCCGGGTCCAAATATGTTTTTTAAGAAGCAATTTAATGACTGCCTCTTTCAGTGGTCCTCACAGAGGGAAGCATTTGCCACCCAGTGGATCCCATTGCCCAGCCCTTCCTGGCTCGCTTTTATGAGCCAGGATGGGCAAGGATCAAGGAGACAGGTGGTTGGTTTCACTTGTCTAAGCGAGTGGAACAGATTGGAATTGATTCATACAACTCGACTAGACAGGACTCTTAGCTCTCTCCCGCCCCATCCCTGATCCCACAGTGGAGTCTATCCCTTTCTGAATCTGAGCGACTTTATCTGCAAAAAACTTCCCAAAATCATTGCAGGAGATCTTGGGGTCTTTCCCAGGCCCCGGTGGCAAAGGTGGTTCTGTGAAATTGTGAACCACCTGAGTCTCCTCCTGCTGTTTTCTGCAGATGCAATGGGGTGGTGAAGTAAGTCCTCTTCGTCGTCACCACTCAGTAGGCTCGACGTTGAGCTCTAACCCGTGTCTGGTCCGATTCAGAATGAGTTTTCCGCCACCGGCGCTCTAGCCATCTCAGCGATTGTTTCATCACCCTCAGCTCTGGGGAAAACCATGGGGCTGTCCGGGCTCCATGCAATCGGAGAGGGCGCTTCAGAGCCAGGCGGTTGATAGCCCTGATTAACTCCGCATTCCAGCAGCACCCCAGGAAATCAGCTGAAAGGCCATCAGCATGGGATAAAGCACCCTCTACCACTCTCTGGAAATCATTTGGATCCATTAGGTGGCAGGGGAGGACCATCCGAATCAGTTGCGCCTCCTTGCAGAGGGGAACCAAACTAGGGGTCTCCAGGAGAACATCCACCACGACCTGAATCAGCTTGGCCAGGGAATCTTGGTGCAGCGGGGAGGTCGGGACACCAAAAGGAATTCTGTACTGCCCCTATTGCCCAGCTTCCAGAACATGCACTCAAAGGACTGGGTCTTCCCAAGTGGGCGCCCAGTGTGACTTCTGATTCGCCGCAGGGAGCTACTCACATTGGCCCACATCTGCAGGGTGGCTGGGTCAATCTTGTAAAGCTGGTTGAAGTTGCAGTAGACGACAGAGTCCTCCGGCAGCCCGTACTGGGAGCGGGTGGTGACGATGATGGTGCGTGGCACCTCCTCACCCGTCGCCGCCTTGTTGTTGATCTGAAAGAGAAGCCAGAAAGGAAAGATCGGAAGGAAGCTCAAGGGGCAGAGCTTTGACTCAACACTATGCAGCGTCAGATCAGAACCCAATCAATAGGCCAGAACGTTTATTTATTGACCATATTGGCTGTCTCTCACTGATTTCACTCTGGCAACTTCTGCCTTTGGTGATTGGACATGAACCCAATCAATAGGCAAGAACTTTTATTTATTGGAAATAGAGGACACCATGGTGTCCTATTAGAAACATTAGAAACAACAGCGCGCGGGGGGGGGGGGATAAATATGGGCACTAAATGGGTTACATATAGAGGTGGGGTGAGGGGTGGTGGATGGTGATGGGAAAAGGAATTATTTGTGGGATTGAGTGTAAGTATATCTGAACACTTTTAAGGATTGTATGAAATGTATGTTTGTATGCTTGTATATAATAAAAAAAATTTAAAAAAATCGGTTATGATTAAATGGGCACAAGAGATGGGACACAATATCCAGATGGAGGAATGGGGAAAACGATGGAAGGATGAGATAAAATTGACAGCATGTGTGGTGGTTAAAGAAAATTATATGAAAAGGATGTCTAGATGGTATTTAGCTCCAGTTAAAATAGCAAAGGAAAGCAAGTGTTGGAAATGCAAAACAATAGAAGGGACATTTTTCAGATGGGGTGGGATTATAAAATTATAAAGAATTATTGGGAAATTATCTATAATGAAATCAAAAAGATTTTTAAAATAACTTTTGTTTAAAAGTTACTGTCAGGGGCTCAGGAGCAGAGGCGCAGGGGAGAGAGGAAATGGAGAGCGAAGGGGAAGAATCTGAGGGCAGCGGGGGGCAGAATGACAGTGACCCGAGAGATTCCATAAGCCTCTCCAGTGAATCAGAAGATTCCCAGAAGGGAGCGCCGATGGCCAGGGCAAGGGGGGTCCCAGGGGGGACACACCAGAAGCAGGGGGCCAGCGGAGACTCCCAAAGCAGTAGCTGGAAATCAGGACCAGCTTCCCCACCAGAGCGTAGTGGGGGGGAAGAGCCCATAGGTCAGAGTCAGCGTCTCCTCCGGCAAGCAGGGAGGAGGAGTCAGACCCAGCTAGCATCCCCGAAGAGGGAAGCAGCGACAGGAGCAGTATAACGGTCAGAAGGAAGGTGGCAGGCTGGGCGCGTGCGCCAAGTTCAAATGTACAGGCGCGCGGGACAGCAGAAAGCCCGGATTGGGAACCAGGTCCTAAAGCTCGCCGGAGGGAGGGGGAAGACTCAGGGGACTCAGCGTCAGAAGAGTCTAGGAAGGGCAGGACCTCGGCGGACAAGCGGACCCAGAGGAGGAGGGAGCAGAGGAAGAGGTGGAGCAAGGCTAGGGTCTTAAACTGGTGTCTGGGGGGAGGAGACTCAGACGGAGCTTCGGCGGTCTAGGGTTTAAGACGTAGAGCTGCGCGCCGTGGCTGTAAAAGAGAAACTGAACTTCAATAAAGACTATTTTATATAACAACGGACTGGCGTTGGTCCTCTGTGAGCTGGGACCTGAGGCAGCTCTGACAGTTACTATCTTGGCTGTCTCTCATCACAGACCCAGTTCCACAGTTGCTGCTCACCATGAACCAACGCTGGCAGTATTAGCAGCAGATCTCTTTTATGCTTCAGGTGATATTTCATTCTTTTGCCAATCGTGCTGTTTTAAATATGCACTTTATATTCGACTACTTCAGTAATGATATTGTTTTAAATCTTAAGATTTTTTTAACTTTGCTGCATTAAATGTGTGCAATCTATGGATAAATAATAACAGTAACAGTAACAACAGTAACAACAACAACAACAACAACAACAATAATAATAATAATAATTTATTATTTCTACCCCGTCCATCTGGCTGGGTTTCCCCAGCCACTCTGGGCGACTCTCAACAGAACATCGAAAACAGAATAAAATATCAAAAAAACATCAGTTGTCTTTTAAAAGTCAGATAGCTTTAAAAACATCAGTTGTCTTTTAAAAGTCAGATAGCTGCTTATTTCCTCAACATCTAATGAGAGGGCATTCCACAGTGTGGGCGCCAGCACCGAGAAGGCCCTCTACCTGGAATACTTTACACCTGACTTTATTCCGTGCTCTTTTATCCTGGAGTGCTTAATTTGATGTTTTAACATCAACTGCTTTGGGATTTCCCCCCTTAAAAACATAAAGCAGTATAGAAATAAAAAGAGGAACATTGAATAACAACACTAGGCCTTTTCAAGCCCCTGCATTTTGGTTATTTGCGAATGGTGCTATTTTATGAAGTAACTCCTTTTTATTTAATTTGCATCCAAGTTGCTATAGATTACACTGAACTCTTAAAAGATTTAAAGCGGGCATGTCCAGCTTCCAAGGGACTGAAATCTATTTCCACTATTAAAACAAAACAAAACAAAACACTGCCCATTGGATCGACCAGAAGTTGTGGAGCTTTTTTTTAGACTCATTTTCTCTTTGTAGAATAACAAGGAGGCTCACAGGTCCTTATAATATTGGGGGAAACAGTTTGTTCTGGTGAGTATTAACCACTTTCCATTTTAACCTGAGGACGGCCATTTGTCGCCTTTTAACTTTAATTTATTTGAATTAATTTTGGGGTGCATTTTAATTGATCGATTGCTTCTTTTTATGGACATTGTATTATTGATATGATAGCAGCCACTCTGATCCCGGCTCTGGATAGGGAGGGTGGGGTACAAATAAAAATTCTCCTCCTCCTCCTTATTTTAGGGAGCCAAACTGTTGAGCTTTTTTGGAGGAGCTGAAGCTGTTGCGCTTTTTTATTATCATCATCTTTATTGCGGTCCAACGACCCATAACATGGATTCAGAATAAAATAGATTCATACAGACAACCCCCCAGAGAAGGGAGACCGAAGCGTTATTTGTTTAGTCATGGGTATGTTGATCTTTGATTTGTATGACTACTGAAAGAAACTTTGCCACGGCCTCTGTGATATCATTGGACTTGTTGTCCAGAAGATATTTGATATAGTAGGCTTCAGATTGACCCAGCCGATTTGCCAATAGTGGTTTAATCTATAGTTCCCTAGCTTGATCATATTGTCCGCAATGCAATAAAATATGCCTCATGCAGTCGACGTCCTGAGAGCGCACACAGATCCTATTTTGATAAGGGATACCTCTCAGTCTGGAGGCAGTGAGAGATTTTACTTTCTTGGGCTCCATGATCACTGAAGATGGTAACAGCAGCCACGAAATTAAAAGACGCCTGCTTCTTGAGAGAAAAGCAATGACAAACCTAGACAGCATCTTAAAAAGTAGAGACATCACCTTGCCAACAAAGGTCTGTATAGTAAAAGCTATGGTTTTCCAAGTAGCAATGTATGGAAGTGAGAGCTGAACCATAAAGAAGGCTGATTGCCAAAGAATGGATGCTTTTGAATTATGGTGCTGGATGAGAGTGTTGAGAGTCCCATGGACTGCAAGAAGATCACACCTATCCATTCTGAAGGAAATCAGCCCTGAGTGCTCACTGGAAGGACAGATCCTGAAGCTGAGGCTCCAAGACTTTGGCCACCTCATAGAAGAAGACTCCCTGGAAAGACCCTGATGTTGGGAAAGAAGGAGCGCACAAGGAGAAGAGGATGACAGAGGACGAGATGGTTGGATAGTGTTCTCGAAGCTACCAGCATGAGTTGGACCAAACTGCGGGAGGCAGTGGAAGACAGAGGTGCCTGGCGTGCTCTGGTCCAGGGGGTCACGAAGAGTCGGACACAACTAAACAACAACAACAACAACACCTCCTCTCAGTCTGGCGCTTAACACTTCTGATGGGAATACATTTAATCTGGCTTTGGTGAAAAGACGCCGGTATGTTGGTACAGACAAATTTCTAAGACATGCAGGTGTCTGAAACTTGAACCCATAGTGAATTCCTACTTCTAATGCGCCACAGATAACATGAGATTGAGATCGGAGATCACTATGTGATATGTCCCAGAGGCTTTGCCTCAGAGATTCAAAGGCAGTATCATAGCCCAGATGGTACAGGAGAGAAGGTGGCATACCAAGCCAAGTGGCTTTTCTAACCATCATTTTCATCTATGAGCTGGCAAACTCCTCGTTGTTTAGGTATGGAAGGTATGGGAGCCCTTCCCTAGGCCAAAGACACAGACACCTGTTTTGAAAAATAGTATTGCATTTGGAACACAATTTGGACCGGAGAAACTTTACCTGGAAGCCATTGAACGAGGAGAATGAGCCATTGAACCAGGCGTTTGAGGCGTAGAGGAGTTGAGAGGCAGATTTTGCATTAAATACCTTAATGGCTGATGGAAAATAATGGCCTCCCCTTGTATAAAAGAATTGAAGTATAGCCAGTTTGCTTACCTCTGCCTTTTGATAGGCGGTCTGCCAATGATGTTTCAAGGACTTGGAATAATGGAACAGAAGCCCTAGGTACCGGAAGAATTTGGTCTGCTCTAGTTTGTGACCGTCCAGTACCCATTTACTTAGGGAGAATCTCTTCTCAAACACCAGGACTTTAGATTTTTCATAACTGATGGATAACCCATTACCAGAGCAGTAGTCTCAGAATTTCCTTAGTTGATAGTTCAGGCCAGGTCTGGTTCGGGAGAGGATGGCCGCATCATCCGCATACAACAAGAGAGGGGTCTTTCTCGTCCCTATTTTTGGAACATGGCCATCAGGGTCCATTAAGCTTGCCTCTAAGTCATTCAGAAACGAACTGAACAAAGTAGGGGCCAAAATGCATCCCTGTCTCACTCCCCTGGCCATCTCAATACAGTCTGAGAGCTGGCCCTGCAACCCACACCTAACCTGCAAATTGCTTCCACAGTGCAGGGCTTTAGTAAGATATAGGAGACGTTTATCCTTCAGTGCTAGATGCAACTTGGCCCATAGTTGGAATCTGGGGATGGAGTCAAAAGGCAGATTTCAGGTCCATAAAGGCCACAAAGAGTTTTCCCTGTCGAGGTCTGGTGTACTTCTCGGCTAGGAGGGACAGCATTAGACAGTGGTCTGATGTTGAGTGGTTCTTGCAGAAGGCTGCCTGAGCTTCAGATAGTATGTTAGTCATTTAGAATAGTTGTCAGTTTATTACAGAGAAAATGGGCATACAGCTTTCCTATTATTGAAAGCAGACTGATTGGCCTATAATTAGAAGGCACGTTTGGCTGGCCTCTCTTAAAGATTGGGACTACTATTGTATGTTTCCAACTAGACGGTACTTTGCCAGAGTTATTTACTATAATAAAAAGTTCCTCCAGGAGAGGAGCCCACCAGTGCTGATTTGGTATGATCAATTCAGCTGGGATAAAGTCATTTCTTCAGGTTCCTAATTAATGTATAGACTTCTTCCACTGTAACCGGGCTCCATTGTGGGAGCAGTGACAGTTCTGCCGAATCTTCATCATAAAAACTGGCGGGGAGATTTGAATTTCCTGTGAATATATTTCTAAAATGGTTCTCCCATACCTGAGCTGGAATGGCACAGCTGGAGGCTGGAGAGCTATTGCTCAGGAAGCTGGAGACTAGTTTCCAGAAGAGTTTTGTTTCGTTGTTTAGCGAGGCATTCAGTAAGAGAGACCAGGAGTTTTGCTCAGACTACCTTTTTTTCGAAGCCAAAAGGGCTTTGTACTCTTTTTTACTTTCGAAATAGGTTGGGGGTAAATAGTTTAGGCCAGCGTTTCTGTAGGCCAAATAAGAGTTCCTTAAGGCTTTCTTCATGCGGCACTCTTGGTCGAACCATCTGTACCCTTTAGTAATGTGGGGCTTGCTGGCTGGATTTATGTTAACAGAGACCACATCCTGCAAGAACTCAATGAGATTATCATTAGCAGTCAGGGAAGAATCTGTTGATATCTCAGCTACAGTAGCCAGCTCAGGTGTCCATTTTTTCCTACACAATGCTGGAACATTAGTTTTATCAATTTTCTCTTGTTCTATGTGAGAGCACTGAATTGAATTTTGGCCAATACAGTGGTACCTCAGGTTAAGTACTTAATTTGTTCCAGAGGTGCGTTCTTAACCTGAAACTGTTCTTAACCTGAAGCACCACTTTAGCTAATGGGGCCTCCCGCTGCTGTGCCATTTCTGTTCTCATCCTGAAGCAAAGTTCTTAACCCGAGGTAATATTTCTGGGTTAGCGAAGTCTGTAACCTGAAGCGTATGTAACCTGAAGCATATGTAACCTGAGGTACCACTGTAGTGGAGATGATCAGAGGCAAATGATCACTCTCAGTCCTGTTATCAATATTGAAGTTTCTGATTAATTTAAAGGCCTCCCTGTTACTGAGACAGTAATCTACTGTGCTAGCTCCATTAGAATTTATGAACTCTCCTCTGTCCCCCGGAAGTGAAGTCAGGACTTATTTGTAAAGAGGCCAAAGGCTGGCATAGTTGCTTTGGTGGTCTTTAGAAGACCTAGAGGGGGGGGGGCGCTTAAGGAGAAAAGGCTGTTTTCCTTTAGTTTCCTTAACATTGGAAATTTTATTTCCAGGCAGTCGTCATTTGAGCCTAGTCTGGCATTCATGTCTCCCATTATGTAAAAAGGTATTTAATTTGAAGGTACTTAATTTGAAGACAGTAAAGCAAACGATGGAATTTATGCCATGTACTCTCAATCTGTGCTTGCACTTTGAATGGTGGAATGTAAGCTGAAACGATACTCTTGGACTCATAGTGCAAGGTGATCCCCTGCGCCAGGTGCTCGAGAAGTGAACACTCAGTAACCTGTGACATCAAGGAAGTGGAGACCAGAGTTACTAGCCCCGCCCCCCGGCTTCCCCTTTCGTGCAGTTTAGAGGCCTTAATTTCATAGGCAAAGTAACCATCAAGGACTATGTTGTCAGTTGCCCAGGTTTCCTGCAACGTTATCACATTAAAACACGTTATGTATTCACAAAATGTCTCGTCCCCTAGTTTGTTGGCCCAACCCGCTATTTTCCACGAGAAAATATTGCGGCTGCTCAATCCGTCATTGGCTTGGCTTCATTGTGGGGAACAAATTTTGATCAGCTCTCCCTCTGTCTCCGTAATAACGCAACCATTCTTAGGATGTAAAAGTTGTTGTTCCTGGGGTTGAGTTACAGAATTGTCCATGTTTTCAGCAGTCAGCTTTTATTAGGGGGCCCAAGCTGCTGAGATTTTTTTTAAGGTGCCGAAGCTGTTGGGCTTTCTTTAGGGGGCCAAGCTGAAGCTGTTGAACTTGTTTTGGGGGGCCAAATCTCCCAGGACTCTCTCAGAAGGTCAAGCTTGCTTTTTGGAAACAGAGGCTCAGGGCTGTGCAAGTTCTGTGCAAGCTGGATGGGCGGGGTATAAATCCATAATAAATTCTTCTTTCATTCATTCCTTAATCAATCATCATCATCATCTCGTTGAATTGCAGGCGGATTCTGCTTCTGGGCAGTCCCAGCGCCATGGCTCCTCGAAAGTCCCTCCATCCCGTACATTTTATAATATATGGTGGGAATGCAAAAGGGTTAGAAATAAATGGGGAATGATATATATTGAATTAGAAAAAAAATGTTTAAAAAGACTTTTCTTAAGAAACCAGAAGCATTCCTCCTAGAAATTTTAGATCAAGATTTAGAAAAAGAAAATCAGAAATGATTTATCAATGCAACAACAGCAGGCAAGAATTATATTAGCACAAGCATGGAAGACAGAAGAAATACCAGCAAAAGAACAATGGCAAGGGAAACTTATGGGATATGCAGAACTGGCAAAATTAACAGATAAATTACATGAAAAGGATAGAAAAGACTTTAAAAGAGAATGGGAACCATTAACAACATATATATGAAGGGGCAACATAAAGAATTGGACTCATTGGCAGGGTTTGAATAAACCAGGCACCCCCCCAACCTGCGGCCCTCCCGATGTTTTTGGCCTACAACTCCCATGATCCCTAGCTAGCAGGACCAGTAGTCAGGGATGATGGGAATTGTACTTCAAAACATCTGGAGGGCCGAAAGTTGGGGATACACAACTGTATATAACCAAAAGCAAGACTATACACATTGGGGAAATAACACCCAATCCTCTCACCTGAGTCGTTGCCAGCCCGTTGCTGATGTTGAATCCGTTGATGGTGATCTGAATCTGCCCACGATTGATCATGTCAATCACGGCTTCAGCAATGGTGTTCATGGGAATGACTGGCATGCTGAGCCCAGCGGCGCCATCATCCCCGCCGTCCGGACATTTCATCTGAAAGCCAAGATAATGGAATAATAATGACAATTTATCATTTACACCCCGCCCATCCAGCCCCATGTTCACCACCTCGCTGCCACTCCTGTGCATTAGAAGCATGCATTAGAAGTGAAATGGATTTTGCTACAAAGTCGGCTACAATCAGGTTTTCAACACAGCAACCCCTCTTGTGGCTTTATTGTGTCCGCGTTTCAGGCATTTTAAAGTTGGGGGGGGGGGAGAGCTATCGTACGCGGGAAGATTGCAAGGTGATTTTAAAAAAAAAGGAAAATGATATATAATGAATGGAGAGGGGGGATTATTAATCCCTTTTGCATTCCTTCCCATGGGAAAGTGTTCCTTGGTTTTGGAACGCCTTGGTTTCGGAACAGACTTTCAGAACGGATGAAGTTTGAGAACCAAAGGACCACTGTGATTTTAAAAGAACCATCTTGCATTTGGCAAGATGTCACAATTTTAAAAGCCATGGGAAAAAATAGATTGAAAAGGCTCCTCGTTATTTTAATCTTTTGCTGGAAGCCGCCCAGAGTGGCTGGGGAAACCCAGTCAGATGGGCGAGGTATAAATAATAATAATAATAATAATAATAATAATAATAATAATAATAATAATAATAATAATAATTTACTCCTCATGTGTTGCTCCGATGCCTGTGGGAAAGCTCTTCTCTTGTGGATACAGTGGTACCTCGGGTTAAGAACTTAATTCGCGCCGGAGGTGCATTCTTAACCTGAAACTGTTCTTAACCTGAGGTACCACTTTAGCTGATGGGGTCTCCCGCCGCCCCCACGCCGCTGGCTCGCAATTTCTGTTCTCATCCTGAGGTAAAGTTCTTAACCCGAGGTACTACTTCCAGGTTAGCAGAGTCTGTAACCTGAAGTGTCTGTAACCCGAAATGCAACTGTAACATACTTTCTCTTTTTTCTTTCAAGTTTCTTATTTTCAATCTTTTATGTTTATTTCCATACACTCCAAACATTTTCCATATATACAATACTGGGATTAAACAAACACCTTGGATTTCCCCACCCCAGTTTCCATATTTTGCCATCTTTTCTTGCATGCAATTATAACAATCCATTATATTCCATCTCCTTATTTACTACTCTAATTCATTTGACTTCATCAATGATATATCCATCCTGCCTGCAGAAAGCCATCTAATTCGATTTCAATTTGATCCTGACTTGTTTTTAGGGCAGGCTTCCTCAACCTTGGCCCTCCAAATGTTTTGGGACTACAACTCCCATGATCCCTAGCTAACTGGACCAGAAGTCAGGGATGATGGGAATTGTAGTCCCAAAACAGCAGGTGGGCCAAGGTTGAGGAAGCCTGGTTTAGGAGGTAATTTCATTATTATTTGATTTTTTAAAAAGTTACTAAGAACTTCACATAGTAAAAGACCAGAAACCTATCTTTTGGGAATATTGAACAGTGATATTCTAAAAGAAAAAACTCAATTTTTTCTGTATGCAACATCAGCGGCAAGAATTCTAGTGGCTAAGTACTGGAAGGGTAACCAGGTACTGACCAAAGAGGAATGACTATATAAATTATGTGAATATTTGGAACTGGCCAAATGGACGGATATAATAAGACTAAAGCCAATGAATACAGTCCAGGAGGAATGGAATTGCTTGAATGACTACTTAGAAAGACAAGGTTCAAATGTAAAAATTTGGCTGTGTCTAGAATGACCTGGTGAATGGAAAAGGGGAAATATACATATATACACATTTATATATTCAGATGAAAATAATACTGAAATACAGATAAAATATGAAAGGTGAAAGGAAGGGTTGTGAGAGTGATGGAAGTCTATTATTATTATTTTGCAAAATAGTATTTATTGTATTGAAATATGCTTTTCTTTATTCTTTGACTCTACTTTCCTTTGCATTTTTTTTCTTTTCCTCCTTTACTTTTTCCTTCTTTCGGTTTTATTGGATATTATTCTTTATGTATGCTTTTGTTTTGAAGTATTTACTTTGCAGTAAAAAATTATTATTATTATTATTATTATTATTATTATTATTATTATTATTATGTTTGATTTTATACTAATGTGATGTATTTGATGCTAGCCGCCCTGAGTCCGGTTTCGGACGGGATACAAATAAGTTTATTATTATTATTATTACTACTATTATTACCTGGGACGCGGGTGGCGCTGTGGGTAAAAGCCTCAGCGCCTAGGGCTTGCTGATCGAAAGATCGGCGGTTCGAATCCCCGCGGCGGGGTGCGCTCCCGTTGTTCGGTCCTAGCGCCTGCCAACCTAGCAGTTTGAAAGCACTCTCGGGTGCAAGTAGATAAATAGGGACCGCTTACTAGCAGAAAGGTAAACGGCGTTTCCGTGTGCGGCTCTGACTCGCCAGAGCAGCGATGTCCCGCTGGCCACGTGGCCCGGAAGTGTCTCCGGACAGCGCTGGCCCCCGGCCTCTTGAGTGAGATGGGCGCACAACCCTAGAGTCTGTCAAGACTGGCCCGTACAGGCAGGAGTACCTTTACCTTTACTACTATTATTGAGAGCTAGACTCCAAAACCACCTACACACGCCCGGATTTTCCTGACCTTCACTATTTTCACGTCAGGCAGGCTGTCAAGGAATGCCTTCAGGTCGACACCGTTCAAAACAATCCGGTTGTCGTAGATATGACCATTTGATTTGAAGTCAATGACGGCTTTTTTCTGAAAGAAAGACATATAATGCATCTGAAAAACACGGCAATTTGGATCTGGGCTTTTTTCCAAGAAAAAAAGACCGCGATACGAAGCAGGCTGTTCCCCTCTTCCCAAATACCTTCAGGTGCGGGAACATATTGGCGTGATCACCAATGAAGAAGGTATTGGGCATGTAAGCCAGTTTTTCTGAATATTGCTCCGCCACTTCCACCGGGGATGTTTCCTGGTCAGTGATAATGTAATCCATGAATAAGGCCCCGCTGGTTCCCGGGTAGCCCAGCCACATTGCCTGGAAGGCAAACAAACGAGGGTTGTTAATTATTATTATATAATTAATAATAATTTATTTCTACACTGCCCATATCTGGCTGGGTTTTCCCAGCCACTCTGGGCGGCTTCCAACAAAAGATTAAAATACAATAAGGCAGCAAGGCAAGATATCCAGAGCTTCTTTTTTTATAAAAACTTATTCAAGAATTACATATATATATAGAGAGAGTGTCCAGTAGCCAATTAAGTTTGTTCTTGGTATAAGCTTTTGTGTACGTGCACACTTCTTCAGATACACTGAATAATAATATAAATAAGTAATTAATATAATATAATATAATATAATATAATATAATATAATATAATATAATATAAAGAACAAACTTCTTCAGATACACTGAGTAATAATATTTTGACTGTGTCAGACCAACTTGGCTACCTAAATGAATAAATAATATACATACGCTTAATTTGACAAAAAAGGAAGTGTCTATGTGCAAATCTTCTTCTATAAATTGCCAAAAACTAAGCTTGGGTTAAATTTATGCAGTCTCTTTTTTAAGAGGAAGGCCTCTGGCAAGATATCCAGAGTTTGCCAAAAACACACACACACAAAAAACACCCCACCTTCTTAAAGAGGACTGTGTCTTTCGGCAAGATCTACAAAAAGGCCGCATAAAACAAGATAGTTGATCACATAATTAAGGATTTTCTTAAATCGGATTTTTTCAATTTAAAGCGGATTTTAAAATAAAGTTCTTTGGGAGGAAAAATCTTTCTAAAGATTTTTTGTTTAAGTTCCATCGAAAGCCATTGTGAAAGAAGGATTTGTTTAAAGTTTTCCATGTGTGCAGAAACTCAGCCTAAATTGTTGTTGTTTTTAAATTGTTTAACCACATCCGTTAACAAACATGGATACATATGCCATAATGCTACTCTTTTACTTAAATTGTTTAAATGGTATGAAGGGAATGAGTCTTTTTCTCCTTCCAATCGAGTACAGCAGAAAAGCAGTCCAAATAGAATCAAATCAGTCATTTTTGATAGGACTGTCAAAACCACTCTGAAAATTTATTCTTCCAAAAATGAAACCTTCCTCTGGTTGTAAATATTAATGTCTTAATCACATTTTTTAACATCACAGCGTTAACATCTTACGACTACGGTAAAGAATATTTTGGGCATGCAGTGGTACCTTGGTTCTCAAACTCTGAAAACCTGGAAGCGTTCCAGTTTTCAAACATTTTTTGGAAAGTCAAGCAGACTTCCAGAACAGATTAAATTTGGTGCTTTTGTTGTTGCTATTTTGCATTTCTGTTCTTCGGTCAATATGTTTTTGTGACTGTGTGGACCCAGTTCAGCTACTGATGAATTGATTGTGTGACTGCGGAAACGGATAGAAGCCCCCCATCCAAACAATGACTTTAGCTACTGATGGATAGACCGATGGATGGACCGTGTGACTGCGGAAACGGATAGAAGCCCCCCATCCAAACAATGGCTTTAGCTGTTGATGGACAGTTGGATAGAAGGATGGATGGACGGATAGCTACTGATGGATAGACGGACGGTGTGACTGCGGAAACGGATAGAAGCCCCCCATCCAAACAATGACTATCATCAGTGCAGGCAAGAATTTTGTTTAAAAAAAATTCTATCATCTACCATACTGTCTTATTTATTTTATAGTACAGAACATGGATGATTGCTTTCATTTGAGGGATCAATGATCTTGTTAGAGAATAAAATTCATGTTCAATGGCTGTTTGAGTGGTTGTTTTTCAAAGTCTGGAACGGATTAATCCCTTTTGCATTCCTTTCTATAGGAAAGCGCGCCTTGGTTTGGGAACGCTTTGGTTTCTGAATGGACTTCCAGAACAGATGAAATTTGAGAATCAAGGGATCACTGTATGATGAACATTTCACTGTGACTTCCTTTACCTGGATCGGTGCTGGCCGGAGAGCAAACAGCTCGTTGCGGGCTCCTTTGGTGTAGCCATTCATGTTGATCAGGATATGTATGCCGTCTTGGTGAATGCGGTCAGCCGCCTTGCCATTGCACGGGACCTAAAACACAAACATTAGAAGCACGTTTATGGAAGTTTTGAATGGCTGATGTTTTAATGTGTTTTTCATCTCTTGTTGTAAACCGCCCTGAGTGGCTGGAGAAACCCAGTCAAATGGGTGGGGTACTTTAAGTAATAGAGTAGTAGTACAGTGGTACCTCAGGTTAAGTACTTAGTTCGTTCCGGAGGTCTGTACTTAACCTGAAATTGTTCTTAACCTGAAGCACCACTTTAGCTAATGGGGCCTCCTGCTGCCGCCGGAGCACAATTTCAGTTCTCTTCCTGAAGCAAAGTTCTTAACCTGAAGCACTATTTCTGGGTTAGCGGAGTCTGTAACCTGAAGCACATGTAACCTGAAGCATATGTAACCCGAGATACCACTGTAGTAGTAGTACATCTGCTAAGGTTGACTTGACAACCTGGCGACGATGTCCAAGCCCTCGAATGGTCCTTCTGAGCTTCTTTCCCTCATACAGTGCACTTGCCGTTGCTTTTGCAAAATCCCACACTGCAGGAAAGTGAGCTGTTTTGGCTAGATTGCCGTAGCTCGGGATACGTGCTCCGTGACAAAAAGTGGGCAGGGTATCTGAGGCACTACTCTGCACCCATGACTTGAGAGCATCCAGGAATCATCTGAAATGTAGTTTAGGGTTAGGGGCTAGGGTTTAGAATTAGGGCAAAGGAGGCAGGCTTAGGCTTAGGCTAAGAATTACTGTTAAGAGTTAAGGGGTTTAGGGCTTACAGCTAGGGCAAAGGCAAGGGCTAGGCTGAGATCCTTTCAATCCTAAAAAAAGCTCAGCAACTTTTGGCTGCGCATGTTCACTTCATCAAATCTGGCCCTCTTTGAAAAGAGTTTGGACACCGACTAGTGATTTAAATCAAATCCACCCTGTTATATACATTACCAAGCAAGCACTTCGACCTGCCGCTGGGAAGCCCCTGAGAAGCAGCTAAGTGACCCCACCGCCCCCGGTTGCACAACCCTTCGGCCATGAGTTCAGACATGATTTTCCGAGCTATGCCCAAAAATCTGATTTATAGGTTATTGATTGCTAGCCTGGATGGTTTGCCTCACTAGCTAGTGCAGTTGAAATATATCTATATCTAATATCTATACATCTCTCTCTCTCTCTCTATATATATATTATTGTCCAGTAGCACCTTAGAGAGGGATGCGGGTGGCGCTGTGGTCTAAACCACTGAGCCTAGGGCAGGGGTCGGCAACCCGCGGCTCCAGAGCCACATGCGGCTCTTTTACACCTTTGCCGCGGCCGGAGAAGGGCTGCTGCTGCTGCTTCTGCCGCCGGAGGGAAGTTCTGCCAGGCGGCTTCATGGCTCATAGCTTCCCCCGGGTTAGGACGGGCGGTGGCGAGGGGGAACGCTCTCCCAGGCCACGCTCTCCTCAGCCCCGCGCGCGAGGCACCCGAGGTGAGGGAGAGAGAGCGTGCGGGCACTCGAGGGAAATGGCGGGGTGGGGGTTGTGGGGGTGGGTGGGTGGCGGTGGTGCTTCGGGATCCTTTTCCATGCCTTGCTTCTGAGTGGCCGCTGAGCTGAGGGAGAGCACCTGAGGTGAACCACAAAATGGGCCCGCCCTCCCTGTCAGGGAGGAAGGGGTGAATTACGTCAGTGACGAGGAGGGGGTCCAGAGGTAGCCAGCAGGAGGGGCGGGGGAGCACGAGAGCAATTGCAGAGGGAGGGGGGGCTGTTAGGCACCAAAATTCTGCATGCGGGATTTCCCCCGCTCTCTCGTGCCTATGCAATTCCTGCCCTTCTCCCTTCCCCCTCGAGATTTGCTGCAGAGACAAGCAAATGAAGAAGGGAAGAGTATTAGCTGACATGTCCCCGGATCCCATGGAAAACACCACAGATTCCTTTGCTTACCAGCTCTTTTTATTTTAAGTTGGCTTCAAACCTGTAATTGTGTAGGTGTGTGTATGTATACATATACACACATAAATATTCATATCTCTTCCCTCTCACCTTCCTTTCACCCAATTTCTCTGGCACTGGTTTATAAATGCTGCTATGTAAAAATGATGAGAAAGTTGCACCAGCAGAAGGAATGGATATGTGCTGTTAGTAAAAAGAGAGGGAGTTGAACTGCAGGGAGGGACAAACACTTTTCTATGTATTAATTTGTATAATGCCCTCTATGCACATGGTGCTTTGCAAAAAAATGGATATGAGAGGTACCATACCCCTCTTTGCTATCTGAAATAGACTCAGGGAAAAGAGAGAGAATGGGGGAAGGGGAAGAATGTGTGGTTATCTACATTTGGCTTGTTTTGCGGCTCCCAGGTTTTCCCCCCCTTCGGAAACAGGTCCAAGTGGCTCTTTTTGTCTTAAAGGTTGCAGACCCCTGGCCTAGGGCTTGCCGATCAGAAGGTCGGTGGTTCGAATCCCCACCACGGGGTGAGCTCCCGTTGCTCGGTCCCTGCTCCTGCCAACCTAGCAGTTCGAAAGCATGCCAGAGCAAGTATATAAATAGGTACCTTCCTCTGGCAGGAAGGTAAACGGTGTTTCCGTGTGCTGCTCTGGTTCGCCAAAAGCGGCTTAGTCATGCTGGCCACATGACCCGGAAGCTGTACGCCGGCTCCCTCGGCCAATAAAGCGAGATGAGCGCCGCAACCCCAGAGGCGACCAACTAAGTTTGTTCTGGGTATAAGCTTTCATGTGCAGGCACACTTCTTCAGATACCTGAAGAATCTACTAGTGCAGATTATTCATGATTTAGCCCCCTCTTCTGATATTGCACATTCGTCCAAACAACGTATAGCATCCAAGAACAGATGGTATCCTGCATTATAGCTTCTTCCTTCCGCCAGATTATGCATTAAAAGGCTGTTCTCTGCCATCAAAGAGCTTTAGCAAAAGATAGAGAAGTAAACAGAGGCAGGAAGAGATGACCGTATCTCTGAATTTTATTTTGATTTTAAATGTGATTTGAATTGCATTTTAAACCAATCGTTTGATTTTGTGTTTTTAATGTATTATGTATTTGGTGTTAGCCGCCTGTGCTTGGTCTTGGCCGGGGTATAAATAAAATTTATTATTCTTATTCTTATATCAGATCGCTAAACTCCTCAAAATGACAAATATCTTCCGGAAAAGGTTGCCTGGGCAAGAGCGTATTTAGGATATACAGGGGGGAAAGAGCTCTCACCTGAGATAAGTCAATAAAGTGATTTGCTTCAGCCATCACCTTGACCCGGAAGTTTGTGCCGTCGTCGGGGCTGAGGGCATAGCAGAAGACCTAGGAAAGAGAGGAATTGCTTAGAACTGAGGCTGACCAGAGTCACTGAATGAATGGAGGAATCTTTATTCGCGTCGGGCATCGCAATAAAACAATACAATATACAAAGAATGGAAATAAAAAGTCCATTGTATAAAATACATTTGAGGGTCACTTGAGCAGGGAGCACGTGAGGCTCAGCAAAACACAGGCCGATAAACAGTAGACAAAGCCCATCTTTCCCAAACATCGCAGGAAAAGGCCAGAATTTACGAAGCGCATGAACCATCACAGCTTTCCTCAATGATGAAGCAATTGCTAATATATAATCATAGAACTAGGGAGTTTGAAAGGGCCACGAGGCTCATCTAGGCTGACCCCCTGCAATGTGGGAATCTTTGCCCAAGAGCTTCCCTCTTGTGGCTTATCCCCACAACAGCTACTGACTTTGGGTTTTAGTCAAGCAAACAGTCTAATCCAGGCATTCCCAACCTGCGGCCCTCCAGATGTTTTAGCCTACAACTCCCACGATCCCTACCTCACAGGACCAGTGGTCAGGGATGATGGGAATTGTAGTCCAAAACATCTGAAGGGCCGATGGCTGGGGATGCCTGGTCTAATCTGTCGGTGCCTAAATGATCTCAAGTGTCAGAACAACTTGACTGCCATCAGGAAATTTCCCACCGTCCCATTTCGACTCTCCAGCACCTGATCTGCATCACCGAGCAATCCCAAAATGCAGACAGCTTTGAACCTCGCAAGATCAAATGTCTCGCCCTGGACTGGACTCGAGGGACGATTCCGACAGATTCCACATGGGAAACGCTCATGTCCTATGTAGCACCAAATCGGTAGTGCATGTGCTTTATAAAAAGCCTTGAGGAGATGATTGTGTTGTTGTTTAGTCGTGTCCGACTCTTCCTGACCCCATGGACCAGAGCACGCCAGGCACTTCTGTCTTCCACTGCCTCCCGCAGTTTGGTCCAACTCATGCTGGTAGCTTCGAGAACACTATCCAACCAGCTCGTCCTCTGTCATCCCCTTCTCCTTGTGCCCTCCATCTTTCCCAACATCAGGGTCTTTTCCAGGGAGTCTTCTCTTCTCATGAGGTGGCCAAAGTCTTGGAGCCTCAGCTTCAGGATCTGTCCTTCCAGTGAGCACTCAGGGCTGATTTCCTTCAGAATGGATAGGTTTGATCTTCTTGCAGTCCATGGGACTCTCAACACTCTCCTCCAGCACCATAATTCAAAAGCATCAATTCTTCGGCGATCAGCCTTCTTTATGGTCCAGCTCTCACTTCCATACATCACTACTTGGAAAACCATAGCTTTTACTATACGGACCTTGTTGGCAAGGTGGTGTCTCTGCTTTTTAAGATGCTGTCTAGGTTTGTCGTGAGATGATTAAGGTAAAGGAACCCCTGCCCGTACGGGCCAGTCTTGACAGACTCTAGGGTTGTGCGCCCATCTCACTCAAGAGGCCGGGGGCCAGCGCTGTCCGGAGACACTTCCGGGTCACGTGGCCAGCGTGACAAAGCTGCATCTGGCGAGCCAGAGCCGCACACGGAAACGCCGTTTACCTTCCCGCTAGTAAGCAGTCCCTATTTATCTACTTGCACCCGGGGGTGCTTTCGAACTGCTAGGTTGGCAGGCGCTGGGACCGAGCAATGGGAGCGCACCCCGCCGCGGGGATTCGAACCGCCGACCTTTTGATCGGCAAGCCCTAGGCGCTGAGGCTTTTACCCACAGCGCCACCAACGTCCCCGTGAGATGATTACCCCTCCTTTATTGCCCGTTCCGGGTTGCCCAACCACTACCCCAGAGTCCTCTCTCTTGGCAGATCAAGAGGAGCAGGTGACGGCAAAGGCGGCCAGGTTTTGAGCTGGGGCAGTCAGAATAAGGTCCACTTTCGATTCAAAACCCTCAAATGTATTTGATATCATTGATTTTTCATTTCTATTCCTTGCAGATCGCCTCGTTGTTTTATTGCTACAACCAAGGGCTGACGCAAATTAAGAAGATGATGATGATGATAATAATTATAATAATAATAAAAACTTTTATTTGTATCCTGCCCTCCCCGTCCGAAACCGGGCTCAGGGAGGCTAACACCAAATATGTAACATTGGTATAAAATCAAGCAATAACGAAATTACCTCCTGAAAGCAAGCCAGGATCAAATTCAAATTCAATTAGATGGCTTTCCGCAGGATTAGGGTTGGGAACAGTAAATGCTCATCAGGCCCAACTGTTTGCACTGCTCTTATATGGGCCTGTGAGAACACTGGGAGGCCTCTTTCATACTAGTTCTTACACAAAAAGAGAAGGGGAGTCAGGTTGAACCAAAGGCCTGGCGGAACAACTCCATCTTACAGGCCCTGCAGAAAGATGTCAGATCCCACAGGGTCCTGATCTCTTGTGGCAGAGAGTTCCACCAGGCCGGGGCCAAGGCCGAAAAGGCCCTGGCCCTGGTCGAGGCCAGCCTAATCTCCCTGAGGCCCAGGACCTCTAACATGTTATTATTTGCAGACTGTCAGATCCTCCGTGGGGTATACCAGGAGAGGCGGTCCTAGGCTGTATTCATTCGTTTGGCCCAACGTGGGGCTCGTACCCATGACCCCAAGATTCAGAGTCTCAGCGCTCTGCCGCCTGAGCTACTCACACAGCTGCCCACTTGTGCACCTCACCTCAAATTTGTCCGAATTGTGCATGCCTGGGATTGACTGCATAAGATGGGAGGTGGGGTGGTTCCCAAAGTCAGAGCTCACGTAGCCAACGCGGAGCCGGCCCTCACTGCCTTTCAGGTCCTTGGGGTGCTCGTAAGGCGGCTTGTGGAGCACGTTGATCTGGCAAGGGGATTCAAGAAAGCCGGGTTACGGAAATGACATGGGGGGGGGGGGACATGAGGCCACATCTTTGAAGTTGTTCCAATGTTACAAATATACATACCTTTGACTTGACAGCCCAAGAAAGACACGCAGAAAATCTATGCTTTAACCGACTCTCCTCATTCCGACGCCATTTGAACGAATTTGGGCTCCACCTCCCTCCATGAGCCAAGAAGCAGGAAATCATGTAGGCAGCAGGAACAGGGCATCCCGCCAGAATTCCCCAAGCCTGAGAGCACATGCACGGCACCCCACCAAGGGAGGGACCAAGGGGGCAACCATAGACATCCGCCAAGGCAGTTTAGCAAGGCAGGTGTTCTGAATGCCCATCTCCAGACAAGTCCAGTGGGAAAGGACGTGTCAAGAGTTTTATTGTTCTTTTGGTGATGGAGATTTAAGGGGTCTGATAAAGGGACCTCATAGTGAATGCATAACCGTTGTATACCCCTCCTCATTTGTGATGTGCTAGTGATGTAGTGATGATGTATCAACGATGCTGCTTGAAGTGTATTCTGGGGGAAGAAGGAAGTTTTAAAAGTTGACATCGCCCCATGCTCGGGGTTCTTACTCCTGGGCAGACCTGTGGTGCAACAGTAAGAATCATGGTCTACTGAGCACTGTTTTGCTCCAAATTACCGGGCTGGGACTTCCTCCTTTTACTGACAGCATGGACCCATGGGGGACAAGTGCCCCGGTGAGCTAGGCTGTCAAGGAGTCACTCACCCTGGAATTTTTTCGCTTAACAGCCATTGGCGCCAATATAGAGCAGGCTTCCTCAACCTTGGCCCTCCAGCTGTTTTCAAACTACAGTGCCCATCATCCCTGACCACTAGACCTGCTAGCTAGGGACCATGGAATTGTAGGCCAAAAGCATCAGGAGGGCCGAGGTTGAGGAAGCCTGATAGAGAGCTCTACCTCTCTTTCAAATCAGAGCCGGCAAAGGCGGTGGAGTTCCTGCGCGGGTGCCTGGAGGCAGTTGGAGGATGGATGGCAGCTAACTGGTTGAGGTTGAATCCTGGCAAGACTGAAGTTTTGTGGTGTGTGGGCAGGTGGGGGGGGGGACTCCCTGGTCCTGAACGGGGCAACTGTGCCCCTGAAGGACCAGCTGCACAGTCTGGGGGTCATTTTGGACCCATGGAGGCACAGGTCTGTTCTGTGTCCAGGGCAGCTCCATCTGGGATGCAGGATAAGACCCTCCCTGCCCACGGACTCTCTTGCCAGAGTGGCGCATGCTCTTGTTATCTCCAGCTTGGACGACTGCAATGCGCTCTATGTGGGGCTACCTTACTGCAATTAATCCAGAATGTGGTAGCCAGACTGGGGACCGTGAACAGCCGCAGAGACCACATAACACCAGTCTTGAAAGACCTGCATTGGCTCCCAGTACGTTTCCGGGCACAATTCAAAGTGTTGGTGCTGACCTTGAAAGCCCTAAACAGCCCAGCAGATGAAACTTTCCTCTGGTTGTCAATATTAAAAGGATGCCAGCAAGATTGAACCTTTCTGTAAAATAAAGGATTTAAATCCAGTCTTACTGAGACCACATACCACCGGTCCCGAGAGATCTGCTTTGGCTCCCAGTACGTTTCCAAGCACAATTCAAAGTGTTGGTGCTGACCTTGAAAGCCCTCAATGGCCTCGGCCCAGTAGACCTGAAGGAACATCTCCACCCCGGACACCGGGGTCCCACTCCCGAGGGCCTTCTGGTGCTTCCCTCCCTGCAAGAAGCCAAGTTACAGGGAAGCAGGCAGAGGGCCTTCTCGTGGTGATGGCCGCCCTGTGGAACGCCCTTCCATCAGATGTCAAAGAAATAAGCAATTATCTCACTTTTAAAAGACATCTGAAGGCAGCCCTGTTTAGGGAAGTTTTTAAATATTTAATGCTGTCTTGTGTTTTTAATATTTGGTTGGCAGCCACCCAGAGTGGCTGAGGATACCCAGACAGATGGGCAGGGTAGAAATAATAAATTATTATATATTATTATATATCCAAAGCCAACATGAAAGCATTCAAACTCTGACGGAACGGAGCGGCGCACACCTCTTCACAGCATAGACCCACCTTGTCCAGGCAAAGGTTCCCATGTCTCTCGGCAATAGCCTTTCGGAAGCCGTGAGACAGCGGATACAGCATGCTGTGATGGGGGTGCACCGAAGGGAGCCGGTTCTTCTCCAGCTGGTCAGCCACAATACTGACAAGCTTCTTCATTCTCTCGTCGTAATCGGTCCAATCACAGACGATCTGAAAGAGGGCAAAGAAAACCAGGGTTCTAGATTCAGGTAGGTAGCCGTGTTGGTCTGATGAAGTCAAAATATATATAAAAATTGCCCAGTAGCGCCTTAGAGACCAACAAAGTTTGTTCTTGGTAGAAGCCAGATACCCCAAACCTTCGGCCATCCAGATGTTTTAGACTACAATTCCCATCATCCTCGACCACTGGTCCTGTTAGCTAGGGATCATGGGAGTTGTAGGCCAAAACATCTGGAGGGGCGGCGGCGCAGGTTGGGGGTGCCTGATATAAGCTTTTGTGTGCATGCACACTTCTTCAGATACACTGAAGCGGAATTCCCCAGACCCTGATATACAGAGGGAGAAGTCCCCAGACCCTGCTATATAAGAGTAAGGAGAAGCCCCCAGACCCTGATATATAGTGGGAGGGTGAGTTGGGGTTTTTCTCCGAAGGGTAGTAGGAGTCAATGGGTATAGTCCACCTGCTGGCAACTGTGAACGACTGAAAAAACAAGGGATGGTATGCAGATGACCTAAAATAGTTTTAGGATATGTAATGAGACACAGTCGTCCACAGGTTGACCATACCGATTGAGTCCTAGTACCCTTCAGAGAAATACCCCGCCCCACCCTCCCTCTAAATATCAGGGTGTGGGGACTTCCGCTTCAGTGTATCTGAATAAGTCTGCCTGCACATGAAAGCTTAGACACAGAACAAACTGAGTTGGTCTCTAAGGTGACATTGGACAATTCCTGAATTAGGTGACACTTTTATCATTACCATGGTACCTTGGGACTCCAACGCCTCGGTTCCCAAATGCCGGAAACCCTGGGAGTGTTGGCCCTTAAAACTCTGCCTCACCTGCAAACAGTGCGCCAGGTTGCAGTAAGCGTCAGGAAAGTCCGGCTTCAGTTTCAAGGCGGTGCGATACGAAGCAATTGCCTCTGGGATGTTTCCAGAATCCTAGAAAGGGAGGGATATTTCAGCAATTGCCACTAGCTTTTTTCCTCAACCATCAAAACCAAAGATGAAGAACAGACAGAAGGCATGATGATCCACACCTGGTGGACTTATAAAGTAACATTCAACAATCATTGGAATAGAAAAGGGGTCGGCAAACTTTTTCAGCAGGGGGCCGTCCACTGTCCCTCAGACCTTGTGGGGGCCAGACTAGATTTTGGGGAGGGGGAAAAAGGAACACATTCCCACAAATAACCCAGAGGTGCATTTTAAATAAAAGGACACATTATACTCATGTCAAAACATGCCGACTCCCAGCCAGATTGAGAAGGCCATGGGACCGTGGTTTGCCTCCCCATGCTATAGAATTGTAATTGATCGGACAATAAATGATTATTACAATGAATGATTATTGTAATTGATCATAGAATAAATGATTGTTACAATAAATGGTTATAAAACAACGGCAAGTCACAGTGTCTACAATAGCCGCAGCGAGAATCTTAACAGACAAAGGATGGAAAGGAGAATCGCATCCCTACTAAGTTGGCGTTGCCAGCAAAAAGGCTAAAATACGCAGAATTAGCAAGAATATTATAATACAGGCAGAATTAGGAGAGGTTTCGGAAGAAAGATTTCATAGAGAACAGGACACTTGCAGAGTACAGTGGTACCTCTGGATGTGAATGGGATCCGTTCCGGAGCCCTGTTCGCATCCTGAAGCGAATGCAACCCGCATCTGCACGTCGCAATTCGCTGCTTCCGCGCATGACGTCATTTTGAGCGTCTGTGCATGCTGCGAAACCCGCAAGTAACGTGCTCCGTTACTTCTGAGTCACTGCGGAGCGCAACCCAAAAATGTTCATCCTGAAGCATATTTAACCCGAGATAGGACTGTATTGTCTAAATTTACAGGGGTGCCCAAATTTTCCCAAAGAGGGCCAGATTTGACATGAGGGCGGGGCAAATTTGTTGAGCTGTTTTAGGATTTAACCCCAAGGTTGTTGAGCTCTTTTTAGGATTGAAGTTGTTGAGCATTTGGGGGGGTTGCCCCAGGAAGTAAACCAGGTTACGCTCCCCGGCCACACGCTGGACTTGTGTGGTCTAAAAAAAATGTTGGGAAAATTTAAATTCTTTGGCAGGTGTGGATTGACAAAGGACAGCAGGAAATATGACAAAACCAATGCATTTTGAGATCTAGGAGAGACGAGCGAAAGGGCGCCATCGGAAATGTGACGTAGGGGTGATTGGCAGTCACAATGAGATTTTTGGGTGTGGAACTCCACCATACTTTCCGTCTATATAAGCCACCCTCTATTTGGGGGGCTCAAATTTAAGAAAATGAGCCATTCACCCACCCAATCACCCGTATAAGACCTCCCCCCATTTTTACTTCAAAGTAAAAAAAAACCACCTGACATGCTGAAAAGTACAGCGATTTTTTCATTTTCATTTTTAAAAATTTATTTACAAACAAACACATAGACACAAAACAAAATTCGTATTACCCTACCACCCAAAATTTCAGACATTAAAACCACCCTTGTGGCTTCCCTCCACCGCCCCTCACCCTCCTATATAATATTTCACATTGCCATTTTTATTTTCCCCCTATTTATTTATTTATTTATTTATTTTTTTGATTTCATTTTACATGCTAGTTGCCATACATTTTCAACACTATACATTACATATATGGATTCCCCACATCTAACCCTATACCCAACTGTCAGGGAAGAGTTAGAGGTTTTCAGTTTCTCAGAGGGAGAAAGCATTCCCCAAGGGGGGGAGGAGAGCAGTGAATCTAATAGAAGGGAGCAAGAGGAACAAGAGGGAGGGACCGGCTGTTCCCAGGAAAGGCCAGGGTTCAGTTCTAGCTCAGATTCGGAGGAGGGGAGATACAAGCCAGCTCTAGCCAGGAGGGTAGGAAAAAGAGCGGGAAAGCGAAGGGAAAGGCGCCTTCGCCATTTGGAGAGTGGCTGGTCATGGAGAAGCAGAGCTCAGAAGGTATCTGAAAGAAGGGACTCTGAGGAAGAAGAGTTAAGAACTGTTTATAAGAATGTTTTGTTAATACGCAATAAAAAGTTTTATAAAAGAACAAGAAGCGTTTCGGTGGTGATCTGAAGAGGACAACGACCAGTCCTGACACCAACTCACCATTTACCCAAATACCCATGTGACTTCCTTCACTCACATTCACATTGCAATTTTTATTTAAATTTATATTTCTTAACTCTTTTAACTTACTATTTATTATTATTATTAAACCAGATTTACAAACATTAAACCAAACATATCAACATGTTAGTTTTTGAGCAGTACTTGAACACATAATCTTCAAACCATTTCCATTATATTTTTATTTTCCAGTTTGATTGGTACCTTATTACTGCACTTAACCTTGCCAGTTCTATAAATTCAATTAGTTTCTTTATCCAGTCATCCTTTGTGGGTATATATTTCCTGTTCCCTCCTTCATGGATCACTGCCTTGCCGTGGCGAAGGGGCTTGAATAACTCAGAGAAGCTATGAGCTATGCCGTGCAGGGCCACCCAAGATGGACAGGTCATAGTGGAGAGTTTTGACCAAACGTGATCCACCTGGAGCAGGAACTGGCAAGCCACTCCAGTATCCCTGCCAAGAAAACTCCATGGACAAAGACAACAGGCATATAAAAGTTATGACGCTGGAAGATGAGCCCCTCAGGTCGGAAGGCGTCCAACATGCTACTGAGGAAGAGCGGAGGACAAGTACAAGTAGATCCAGAGCTGATGAAGCGGCTGGGCCAAAGCCGAAAGGACGCTCAGTTGCGGATATGCATGGAAGCGAAAGGAAAGTCCAATGCTGTAAAGATAAATATTGCATAGGAACCTGGAATGTAAGAACCATGAACCTGGGTAAGTTGGAGGTGGTCAAAAATGAGATGGCAAGAATAAATATTGACATCCTGGGCATCAGTGAACTAAAATGGACGGGAATGGGCGAATTCAGTTCGGATGACTATCATATCTACTACTGTGGACAAGAAACCCGTAAAAGAAATGGAGTGGCCCTCATAGTCAACAAAAGAGTGGTGAAAGCTGTACTGGGATGCAATCTCAAAAATGATAGAATGATCTCGATACGAATCCAAGGCAGACCTTTTAACATCACAGTAATCCAAGTTTATGCACCAACTACTGGTGCTGAAGAAACTGAAATTGACCAATTCTATGAAGACTTACAACACCTTATAGAAGTGACACCAAAGAAGGATGTTCTTCTCATTATAGGGGATTGGAATGCTAAAGTAGGGAGGCAAGAGATAAAAGGAACAACTGGCAAGTTTGGCCTTGGAGATCAAAACGAAGCAGGGCAAAGGCTAATAGAGTTCTGTCAAGAGAACAAGCTGGTCATCACAAACACGCTTTTCCAACAACACAAGAGACGACTCTACACATGGACCTCACCAGATGGGCAGCATCGAAATCATATTGATTATATTCTCTGCAGCCAAAGATGGAGAAGCTCTATACAGTCAGCAAAAACAGGACCTGGAGCTGACTGTGGCTCAGATCATCAGCTTCTTATAGCAAAATTCAAGCTTAAACTGAAGAAAGTAGGAAAAACCACTGGGCCGGTAAGATACAATCTAAGTCAAATCCCTTATGAATACACAGTGGAAGTGAGGAACAGGTTTAAGGATTTAGATTTGGTGGACAGAGTGCCTGAAGAACTATGGATGGAGGCTCGTAACATTATACAAGAGGCAGCAACTAAAACCATCCCAATGAAAAGGAAATGCAAGAAAGCAAAGTGGCTGTCCAACGAGGCCTTACAAATAGCGGGGGAGAGAAGGCAAGCAAAATGCGAGGGAGATAGTGAAAGATACAGGAAATTGAATGCAGATTTCCAAAAAATAGCAAGGAGAGACAAGAAGGCCTTCTTAAACGAGCAATGCAAAGAAATAGAGGAAAACAATAGAATGGGAAAAACCAGAGATCTGTTCAAGAAAATTGGAGATATGAAAGGAACATTTTGTACAAAGATTTCCATAATAAAAGACAAAAGTGGAAAGGACCTAACAGAAGCAGAAGACATCAAGAAGAGGTGGCAAGAATACACAGAGGAACTATACCAGAAAGAAATTGATGTCTCGTATACCCCAGGTAGTGTGGTTGCTGACCTTGAGCCAGACATCCTGGAAAGTGAAGTCAAATGGGCCTTAGAAAGCATCGCTAATAACAAGGCCAGTGGAAGTGATGATATTCCAGCTGAATTATTTAAAATTTTAAAAAATGATGCTGTTAAGGTGCTACACTCAATATGCCAGCAAATTTGGAAAACTCAGCAGTGGCCAGAGGATTGGAGAAGATCAGTCTACATCCCAATCCCAAAGAAGGGAAGTGCCAAAGAATGCTCCAACTACCGCACAATTGCACTCATTTCACACGCTAGCAAGGTTATGCTTAAAATTCTACAAGGCAGGCTTAAGCAGTATGTGGACCGAGAACTCCCAGAAGTGCAAGCTGGATTTAGAAGAGGCAGAGGAACCAGAGACCAAATTGCAAACATGCGCTGGATTATGGAGAAAGCGAGAGAGTTCCAGAAAGACATCTACTTCTGCTTCATTGACTATGCAAAAGCCTTTGACTGTGTCGACCACAGCAAACTATGGCAAGTTCTTAAAGAAATGGGAGTGCCTGATCACCTCATCTGTTTCCTGAGAAATCTCTATGTGGGACAAGAAGCTACAGTTAGAACTGGATATGGAACAACTGATTGGTTCAAAATTGGGAAAGGAGTACGACAAGGCTGTATATTGTCCCCCTGCTTATTTAACTTATATGCAGAATTCATCATGCGAAAGGCTGGGCTGGATGAATCCCAAGCCGGAATTAAGATCGCCGGAAGAAATATCAACAACCTCAGATATGCAGATGACACAACCTTGATGGCAGAAAGTGAGGGGGAATTAAAGAACCTTTTAATGAGGGTGAAAGAGGAGAGCGCAAAATATGGTCTGAAGCTCAACATCAAAAAAACAAAGATCATGGCCACTGGTCCCATCACCTCCTGGCAAATAGAAGGGGAAGAAATGGAGGCAGTGAGAGATTTTATTTTCTTGGGCTCCATGATCACTGCAGATGGTGACAGCAGTCATGAAATTAAAAGACGCCTGCTCCTTGGGAGAAAGGCGATGGCAAATCTAGTCAACATCTTAAAAAGTAGAGACATCACCTTACCAACAAAGGTCCGTATAGTTAAAGCCATGGTTTTCCCGGTAGTGATGTATGGAAGTGAGAGCTGGACCATAAAGAAGTCTGATCGCCGAAAAATTGATTCTTTTGAATTATGGTGCTGGAGGAGACTCTTGAGAGTCCCATGGACTGCAAGAAGATCAAACGCATCCATTCTTAAGGAAATCAGACCTGAGTGCTCACTGGAAGGACAGATTGTGAAGTTGAGGCTCCAATACTTTGGCCACCTCATGAGAAGAGAAGACTCCCTGGAAAAGACCCCGATGTTGGGAAAGATGGAGGGCACAAGGAGAAGGGGACGACAGAGGATGAGATGGTTGGATAGTGTTCTCGAAGCTACAAACATGAGCCTGACCAAACTGCGGGAGGCGGTGGAAGACAGGAGTGCCTGGCGTGCTCTGGTCCATGGGGTCACGAAGAGTCGGACACGACTAAACGACTAAACAACATTTCCTGTTCCAGTTTTGTGCAAGGAGTAGCCTTGCTGCAGCTGTCGCGTATCAGAATAATATCTTGTGGTATTTCTTTACCTCTTATACTCAGTAAATATGCCTCTGGTTTCCCCCTCTAAATTAATTCTGATCATCTTTTTTATTTCCTCATGAATTTTTTAACGTTTCCGTAGCCCCACCATAAACATATTGGCGTGCCCTCTGCCTCCTCACACTTCCAGCATAAATTCCAATTCTCCCCTTTTTCTTTTGGTGCCCCATCTCGGTTTGGGACGGCTTTTGCCAGTTGTTTTCCTTTGTAAAAACTAACAGATTCCCCTGCTGCCCCCCCCACAGTTTTTTTTAAAAATAGATTTAGCAGAGACACAAAGCTCACCTTATGGATGGAAGCGAGGTTGCTGTGGGCATCGGCAAACGCAGGATTTATTTGGATTGCTCTTGTGTAGCACTGCAGAGCTCCTTGGACGTCTTGCATTTCCTTCAAGGTGTTCCCCATGTTGGAATAGGCGTCTGCAAAAGTGGGGCTTATTCTGACATGGAGGGCGAGAGAAAAAGTGCAGTTTTGGTACAAAAATACACTGAAGTTACGCTGGAAATGTAAGGGTCAAGAAGGCTCTTTCTATCCTATACGGTGGTCTTTAGGGCAGTTCATTAAACAAACTTTTTTTAAAAACGCCTTCTCCAAAGCCTTCACAAAATAGGAAAACGGCCAAGAAAACAGCTATTTTCATGGAGGAGGGTCGAGATATTAACTGATATGCACAAAATTTCAGATATAGCTATATAATCCCTAGTGTAGTAAGATAAGACCTTGGGAGCAGGCATTTTCAAAAAAGTGTTTTTTATGAACCACCCTAGTGGTCATGTGAGACAGTGAGACCTTGGTTCTCAAATGTTCTCAAAGGTTTTTTATACAGAAGGTTTCTTTATACAGAAAGGTTCAGCATTGTGGCATCTTCTTCATACGGACAAGCAGCACTTTCCTTCTGGGAAATCCCTGCTCCTCAATTCTGGCAATTATTAATCACTCTCAATTCCACCCTAATAATTGCCACATGCCCGGATTTTAACTTGTCTGAATTAATTTTTACTTGAATTACTTGATGTCTGCTTTTAGGCTCGTTGTGTTGTTTTTATGATGTTAGCTGCTCTGAGCCCAGCCTCAGCCGGCGAGGGTGGGACACAAACAAACAAAATTATTATTATTATTATTACTCAAACGCTTTGGTTCCCAAATGCCGAAAACCCAGAAAAAGTGTTCCAGTTTCCAGGCGTTTTTGGAAGCCAAACATCAAATTTGGCTGTCGGCTATTCTTTCTGGGGTGCCTGCACCAATCAAACAGACTTCAGGAACAGATTAAGTTTGGTGCTTTGGTTTTTGCAATTTATGTGGTATTTTTGTTTTGGAGGCTTTTTCGGTTCATTTGTTTTTGCGACTGTGCGGATCCCAGTTTAGTTACTGATTGATTGATTGATTGATTGATTGATATAGAAGCCCCGGTCCCCATCCGAACAATGACTATCATCAGTGCAGGTCAGGAAAAAAAATAATTTTCAATTTTATCATTTACAAGACTGTTGTATTTATTTTAGAGTACAGTACATGGATGACTGCTTTCATTTTAGGGATCAGTGGTCTCGTTAGATTGTAAATTTCATGTTAAATGGCTGTTTTAGGGATTGTTTTTCAAAGTCTGGTACGGATTAATCCATTTTGCATGACTTTCTATGGGAAAGTGCACCTTGGTTTTGGAACACATTCAGTTTGAGAACCAAGGTACCACTGTATAATTAACTGGGGGGGGGGGGGGAGAACATTTGTGTAAAAACCAGAAGCCTTTCTAATAGGTTTAACGGGTGAAGAAATACCAAGAGACCTAAAAAGACAGTGTATTCTGTTTATGCCAGAATGTTCTTAGCCCGGATGTGGAAGGAAGAGAAGGTCCCAACAAAAGAAGAGTGGATTATCAAAATGACCGTGAAGATCGGACATCAAGATGACAGGAAATGTAAGCAAAGAAAAAATTTGAAAGGACAAAATGGGGAAAATAATGAAGGTGAAATGTGAAAAAGCATGGTGCAAAAACCTTAAGGATATAACCATCGTTAGTTCAAAGATGGCAAAATTAAGGAAGAATGAGATAGGCAGGAGAAGCAAATATTTAAAAAACCAGAAGAGGGAAGCTGGGGGAGATTGGGATTCATCTATGCTGGCTGCAAGAATGATGTCTGTGTTGAATATAAAATGCTAAAACTTAATAAAAGCTATTTATATATATAAAAAAATTAAACAAGAATGGGAAAAATTTATTGAATACCTTAAAGGCCACTGTACATATTTAGAAATATAATAATAATAATAATAATAATAATAATAATAATAATAATAATAATAGTAGTATCCCGCCATCCCCGGCCAAAACCGGGCTTAGGGCAGCTAACATCAAATATATAACATTAGTAAAAAATCAAACAATAATTAAATTACCTCCTAAAAACAAGTCAGGATCTAATTAAAATCGAATTAGATGGCTTTCCGCAGGCAGGATTGATATAACATTGATGAAGCCAAAGTAGCAAATAAGGAAATGGAATAGAACGGATCATTGTAATTACATGCAAGAAAAGATGGCAAAATATGGAAACGGGGGGGGGGGGGGGGAGAGTCCAAGAGGTTTGTATAATCCCAGTATTGTATATATTGAAAATGTTTGGAGTGTATGGAAATAAAATGTTAAAATAAAAAAACTGAAAATAAAAAAAACCTAAAAGAAAAAGAGCAAGTGTATTATCCACAAGAGGAGCGCTTTCCCACAGGCACCAGACCAGCGCATGAGGAGCAATAATAATTATTAACAACAGCAACAATAATTTATTATTTATACCCAGCCACTCTGGGCGGCTTCCAGCAAAAGACTGAAATACAGTAAGGAGGAGCTCTTTCAATCTATTTTCCCCGTGGCTTTGGAAGCTCACCTGATGGCCTCCTTGTAGTGCATGAGGGCCTCCTGGAGCTTCCCCTGCTGTTGCAAAACACTGGCTAAATTCGAATGCGCAGCTGCAAACTCCGGGAAGACCTGCGGGGAAGAAGCTCACTCTTAGTTTCCCTGAGAAGCATTCTAAGGAGACGGAGGCCGCTCTTTGAGGCTCAAAGGTTGTGGGCGTGAAATAAATCCTCATTTGGATTGACTTGCAAAAATTAAGAAGGAGGAGGAGGAGGAGGAACCTATGGACTGCCTTTTTAGCATGCATAGGAAATACTGTTGGGAGATCAGACTGTCAAATGACCAATGCCATATTTTAAAGAGCCCCTCTTTGATGCTCAAATGTGGCAGGGGCTGGCTGCAAAATAAATCACCATTTGGAATGATTTGTGGTAATAATAATAATAATAATAATAATAATAATAATAATAATAATAATAATGGGCCTATGAACTGCCTTTTTCGTACACATAGGAATATACTGTTAGAAAATAAGACTGTCAGGGGATCAAGCTCAGCCGACACAGAGAACAGCATGTGCTCAGCTTTTATTTCAATTTCTGTACCGTTCCTTAACACCTTGCTTTGTTCTTCTAATGAAAAAGCAGATTTTTGGTCATTCCAGGAGGCCCAGGAATATAAAGAGGGACAGACCCTCTTCCATCCAAAAGGGACTTATCGGACCATGCTTTGTCGAACCTCAAAATGCTACTTCACTTTCAGTTCTTCACCATTATTTCCGTTATTGATCAAGAAAAATCTGATCGGCGATTTTTAAAAAGACCCAGACTAGGAGTCCAGGGTACGCACGCCTAACCCTTATATGTCAATTTAATTGTTGTAATTCTCCACGCACGTACCTCAAGAGCTTTCCGGTAGAGGCGGACAGCCTCCTCAATATTCCCTTGTTCTCGCTTGATGTTCGCCAGGTTATTAAGAGAATCCGCGTGAGTCGGACATAAACGGAGAGCTGTATTGTAGCATTCCTCGGCTTCGGCAACCTTCGAAACACAAAACAGAGTTTTTACGTGAATATTAGTATGTCTTTCACAGGAGCCCAAAAGGCTGCTCTGTGATGGGATGGCCTGATTGAGGTTTGATACGGCCCTCAGCTCCTGAAGGTAACTTGGTATTAGGACGGTTCATAAAAAACTCTTTTTTTGAAAATGCCTGCTCCAAAGGTCTTCTCTTACCAACAGTAGAGATTATATAGCTATATCTGGAATGTCATGCATATCAGTTAATATGTTATATATATATATGCCAGCTGTCCTTTGTCAACAACCAATTGTTGCTGTTTTTTATATTGAATATATGCTATATGGTAACTGTTGCACCTCATAGGTATCTCAAGCCTTCTGCACGTCACAAAAGATGTATTTTATCAAAGTCATTGTTGAACTGAAATACAATTAAGAAGTATATTAATAGTGAAATGCAATTAAGAAGAAGCATATTAACAGTTTTTAATATATTAACAGAAGAAGCATATCAACAATTGTTGAGCCTTTTTTAAGGATTTGACCCCAGAGGTGCTGACCTTTTTTTAGGATTAAAGTTCTTGAGCTTTTTGGGGGGAAGTTTTGCCCTAGTAAATAAACAGCCACGAGGGCCAGATTAAATCGACCAGAGGGCCAGATTAGGCCCCTGAACTGGACTTTGGACATGCCTGGTCTAAAAGAACATTGGGAAAATTTAAATTCTTTGGCAGGATAGCAGGAAATATGACAAAACCAATGCATTTTGAGATCTAGGAGAGATGGGTAGAAGGCCCCCAAAGTGGACTTTGGACATGCTTGGTTTAGGGGAACATAAATACAAGATCAGACTAATCCGATTCAAACTCTCTTTCCCGCACACTTACCGTCTTTTGCAAGATGTATTTAAGGAAGACAGTAAGGGAAATGGTTTTGGTCATACTAAATCAAAATTAAGAGACAGAGTTGCTAGATAGTAAAAGAAAATCATTGCCAAAAACGTATAAGAATGGCATACAAAGGATGAAGAAGTTAAGTAGGTTATGATTAAATGGGCTCAAGATTTTGGTCATAACATTGAATTAGATAAGTGGGAAAGATTATGGACAAAAACAATTTATTGCATGTACAGCACTAATGGAAAATTTAATGAAGGTGACGTATAGGTGGTATTTGACGCCAACTAAACTTGCTAAAATATATATAACTCAAGATAAGGCACGCTAGAAATGCAAGGAGAAGGAAGGGAATTTCGTCCATAGGTGGTGGATGTGCACTAAAGTCAAAGTCTACTAGGATATGATTTACAAAGAATTGAAAAAGATCTTTAAATATACTGTTATTAAAAAACCAGAGGCTATTCTATTGGGTATTGTGGGAGAAGAAATTCCAAAAGTAGACTTATGTATGCTACCATAGCTGTAAGGACATTTTTAGCCCAGAAATGGAAGCGGCAGGAACTTCCAACTTTGGAAGAATGGCAGACAAAAACGATTGAATATGCAGAACTGGCAAAGCTGGCAGTGAAAATCCGAAATCGGCGCGACAAACTGTTTGAAAAGGACTGGAGTAAATTTATAAAAGATGTGAAAGAACATTGTAAACATCTGAGAATGTTTGCTGGTTTGATTTAAAATATTTGTCATAATTTTGTCATAATAATTTTTGAAAGTGATTTACAAATGCTAAAGTAAATTGTTTTAAGTAGAGTAAGAAGGTAAATAGGGCGATATATGTTCAGGTAGGCAGCCGTGGTGGTCTAATGCAGTTGAAATATATAAAAAATATATAAATTGTCCAGTAGCACATTACAGACCAACTCAGTTTGGTCTTGGTAGAAGCTTTTGTATCTGAAGAAGTGGACCTGCACACAAAAAATTATACCAAGAAGAAGCCAAGTTTAGCAAGCCCTGTTTAGGGAAGCTTTTAATGTCTGACGGACTATTGTATTTTAATATTTTGTCGCCAAGAGTGGCTGGGGAAACCCAGCCAGATGGGTGGGGTATAAATTATATTATTATTATTATTATTATTATTATTATTATTATTATTATTATTATTATTATTAGGTGCTACTGGACAATTTTTAAAGGGTGATATAGAAATGCTAAGAGGATCGTGACTGCTTAAGAAAGCCAGGGAGTGGGAGCGGGGGGGGGGGGGGCGGGGAGTCGACGCTTGGTATGAGCAAAGTTGTATGTGACGATATGATTTGACATGAACGTGACAAAGGAAAAAATAAAAGAGGACTTCTTCTAGGTTCTGTACCCCAAATCCCCCCAATAAAGGCCAATTTCGAGGTCACCATCATCCGGAAGGCTTTTTTCAGCAAACCCTCTGACATACAGAAAGCAAAAGGGACCGGTTTCATTTTTTTTTTTAATTTTTTTTTATTTATAACATAGTCCACAACAACTCATACATACAAACAGACCCACCACCATTGACTAATTATCAAAATTAAACTCCTATCCCCTTACACAAAGAAAACATAACATAAAAATAAAAGACTTTATCCTGTTAAATGGCCTCCTTATTTACTTCTTGTATACTATTTCTTTTGTATGAGATTATTACAATTTTTCCTAATTATGACTTAAACCACAAAGTCTCCTGTAGAAATTAATTGAAACAAGTCCAAATGTATATTTTGGGGCACTGTTTGGTAAAGTATTCTCTGCATTTTCCCCATTCCTTTTGGAATTCTTATCTGGGTTGTGCCCTAATCGTCTCTGTTAATCTGGCCAATTCAGCATGGGGAAAAGCCTAAGAAAAAGCTAAACAACTTCAATCCTAAAAAAAGTTCAACAATTTAAACCCTAAGAAAAGAGCTCAACAACTTCAATCCTTAAAAAAAGTCAACAACTTTGGTCGGCCCTTATGGCCCTAGAATCATAGAATCATAGAGTTGGAAGAGACCACAAGGGCCATCGAGTCCAACCCCCTGCCAAGCAGGAAACACCATCAGAGCACTCCTGACATATGGTTGTCAAGCCTCTGCTTAAAGACCTCCAAAGAAGGAGACTCCACCACACTCCTTGGCAGCAAATTCCACTGTCAAACAGCTCTTACTGTCAGGAAGTTCTTCCTAATGTTTAGGTGGAATCTTCTTTCTTGTAGTTTGGATCCATTGCTCCGTGTCCGCTTCTCTGGAGCAGCAGAAAACAGCCTTTCTCCCTCCTCTATGTGACATCCTTTTATATATTTGAACATGGCTATCATATCACCCCTTAACCTCCTCTTCTCCAGGCTAAACATGCCCAGCTCCCTTAGCCGTTCCTCATAAGGCATCATTTCCAGGCCTTTGACCATTTTGGTTGCCCTCCTCTGGACACGTTCCAGTTTGTCAGTGTCCTTCTTGAACTGTGGTGCCCAGAACTGGACACAGTACTCCAGGTGAGGTCTGACCAGAGCAGAATACAGTGGCACTATTACTTCCCTTGATCTAGATCAGTGTTTCCCAACCTTGGGCCTCCAGCTGTTTTTGGACTACAACTCCCATCATCCCTAGCTAGCAAGACCAGTGGTCAGGGATGATGGGAATTGTAGTTCAAAAACAGCTGGAGGCCCAAGGTTGGGAAACACTGATCTAGATGCTATACTCCTATTGATGAGGCCCAGAATTGCATTGGCTTTTTTAGCTGCCGCGTCACTTCATCAAATCTGGCCCTCTTTGAAAAAACTTTGGACACCACTGCCTAATAGGAAAGCTTCTGTATTTTTTTCCCACAGGCCCACCAGACATGTATAAGTGTCCCTTCTGCTTTACTGCACCTCCAGCACAGGTTTTTTGTTTGTTTTGTTTTATACATTTTAGCTATTTTGGCAGGTGTTAAGTACCATCTATAAAACATCTTTTATACAGATGTTCCCCCCACCCCAAGGCAAAAGGGACCAGTTTCTTACGCTGCCTTTCTCTTTCAGCGCGTTGGCCAGGTTGCAGTAGGCGTCGGGGAAGTGGGGCTGGAGCTCAATGGCCCTCTTGTAGGTATCGATTGCCAGATCGATCAGCCCCTGTTCGTAATACACACATGCCAGGTTGCCGTGGACAACAGCGTGGTTGGGACTCAGGCTCAGGGCCCGTAGGTAGGCTGCAACGGCTCTGAAATGAGATCAAGGACTGGTTCAGTTTCATTGTCACCAGGGTGGATAAAAATCTGTTTTTTAAAAAATAAAATGCTTTGGGAGGACGATTAAGAGGATCGAGGCAGGCCGGGACTGCTGATTCTTTTAGATTTGTTAGCAGCCTTCGACATGGTCGATCACAAACTTTTGGACCACCGCCTTGCCAACGTGGGGATTCAGGGCACAGTCAGACAATGGCTGTGCTCCTTTATCTCAGGTCGGGGACAGAGGGTGGCGCTAGGGAGGGAGTTGTCGCTGCGGCACTCCTTGTTGTGTGGAGTGCCGCAGGGCACAATCCTTTCCCCGATGCTTTTCAATATCTTTATGCACCCCCTTGCCCAGATTGTCTGGAGTTTAGGGCTGAGTTGTCGTCAATATGCTGATGACACCCAGCTTTATCTGTCAATGGACGGCCACCCTGACTCGGCCCCAGACACACTGACCAGATGCTTGGAAGCCGTGGCTGGGTGGCTGCGTGGGAGCCAGTTGAAGTTAAAACCTTCGAAGACAGAGGTCCTCTGGCTGGGTCAGGACAACATGAGGTTGGGGGGCCAACTCCCATCTCTTGCAGGGGCGCAATTAGTGCCAGAGCCTTCTGTCAAGAGCTTGGGTGTAACCTTCGATGCCTCTCTTTCCATGGAGGCGCAGGTTGCAGCCACAGCAAAGGTGGCATTTTTCCACCTCCGCCGTATTAAGGAATTGGTTCCTTACCTTTCTCGCCCTGATCTGGCCAGTGATCCATGCGATGGTCACCTCCAGGCTTGATTATTTTAACTCGCTCTATGCTTAGACTCACTCTGACACCCTATATGGGATTTGGTATATAAATTTTCCCGTGGCTTTTTTGCTGGCCCATGTAGGACCAGCATGGATAGCTGGCTTGGGTGAATAGCTGATGTTTCTTCCCTTTATAGTCTTGATTTATGGGCTACTACTAAAATGAGGCTGCATTTTAAGCTGTATTTTAAGCCGTATTTTAATTAACTGGGGTTTTTTCCTATTATATTTTATTGTAATTTATATTTGGTGTTAGCCGCCCTGAGCCCGGCCCTGGCCAGTGAGGGCGGGGTAGAAATAAATAAATAAATAAATAATTCAGGAAAGAATTACTTGTTTTAAGTTTTTCATGTGTGCGAAAACTCAGTCCAAGTTTTTCTTGGGGAAAAAATGTTTCAGCACATCAGTTAAGCAACATGGATACATATGCTACCATGTTACTGTTTTAGTGAAATAAATTGCTTAAATTGTTATGAAGGAAATGTTTCTTTTCTCCTTCCAATCAAGTACAGCAGAAAAGTTGTTCAAATAAAAAGTGTTCACTTATTAAAGCTCACCATCATTTCGTCACAATTGGGCTGTATATAGCAGAACCAAATCATTTTTGATATAACCGTAGAAAAGACTCTGAAGTTAGGATTCCAAAAAGGAAACTTGCCTCCGATTGTCAATATTAAGAGGATGCCAGCAAGGCTGAACCTTCCTGTAAAAGGGGGATTTAAATCAAGTCTTATGGATTTGGGATTTAAATCAATTTGCTTTAAATAAAATCAACCCTCTAGGCAACAATGGGAGTTAGTTTGGGTATGGGTGCAACCACTAAACTGAGAATATAAGACGTAATGTGATTATACGCAAAACCAATAAAAACCATTTATATAAAAAAGAGAATATAAGCTCTATGCCTATTTGCTTACCTGTCAAATATACGCCGCCGTCCTTCAAGACGTTCCCCAGATTGAATGTAAGCATCCAGGAAGTTGGGGTCCAGGGTCCACCGGCCTGAAAATATTTAAGATAATAAATTTTTGTTACTAAATACAGGTCATCCTATCTTAATCTATCTATCCTTATTCCTACCCTATCTAATCAAATCTATCTACCTAACCTACCATCTAATCCAGGTGTGGCCCAACTTGGCCCTCCAACCCCCATCATCCCTACCTAACAGGACCAGTGGTCAGGGACAATGGGAGTTGTAGTCCCAAAACAGCTGAGGCCAGTTGCACCTGAATCTATCTACCTACCGTATCTATCTATCTATCTTATCTATCTATGCCTTAGTATATCTATCTCTACTACCTACCATCTTCTATCTAATCTATCTATCTATCTTCATCTATCTATCTATTATCTTCTATCTATCTATCTATCTATCTAATCTAATCTAATCTAATCTAATCTAAGTACCTACCTATCATCTATTTAATCTATCTACCGTAGTTTTCGCTCCATTACACACATTTTTTTCCTCCTAGAAAGTAAGGGGAAATGTCTGTGCGTGTTACGGAGTGCTTCCCTCCTCCATGGTTTCCAGCGGGAGAAGAGCCGCTGAATGGGGAGGAGAGAGGGACAGAGTACCTGCTTCTTTAAAGGAGCAAAGCGGGAGGGGAGGGGAGCCGCTTACACGAGTGTAAGCGGCTCCTGTCCGGTTGGCTCCTTTAAAGCAAGCAGGCTCTCTGTATCTCTCTTGTCCCGCTTTGCTGGAAATAGCAGGAAAGATTTTCAGCTTTCAGCTCGCTAAGGGCGGGGGGGGGGGGGGAGGAGAGAAGCAGAGCCTGCTTCCTTTAAAGGAGCAAAGCGGGAGGGGAGCCGCTTACACGAGTGTAAGCGGCTCCTGTCCGGTTGGCTCCTTTAAAGCAAGCAGGCTCTCTGTATCTCCTCCCGCTTTGCTGGAAATAGCAGGAAAGATTTTCAGCTCGCTAAGGGGGGGGGGGGGGAGGGGAGAGAAGCAGAACCTGCTTGCTTTAAAGGAGCCTACCGGACAGGAGCCGCTTACACGAGTGTAAGCGGCTCCTGTCCAGTAGGCTCCTTTAAAGCAAGCAGGCTCTCTGTCCCTCCAGCAAAGTTTTTCAGCTCGCTAAGGGGAGGGGGGGAGTAGGGAGAGAAGCAGAGCTTGCTCCATGCGTTCTCCTTGTCCCTTGAGTGCTTTTCCTTCCCTCCCCACTTAAAACGTGGTTACAAAGCACAGATCCACATGGATCCTCAGGATTTTTGCACTGGGTCACCCCAAATTCACCATCAGATCACATAGCATGTCCATGGCTACAGTTTGCACCAAAAAAATCACGCACCCACTGTTGCCTGGGGCCGCAGTGGTGCAAAAACGTGGTTACAAACATGGATCCACAGGGATCCTCAGGATTTTTGCATTGGGCTACCCCAAACTCACCAACAGAACACATGTCTGTGAGCACAGCATGAACCACAAAAATCATACATCCACTGTTTCGTGTAGAATATTTTTTTTCTTGTTTTCCTCCTCTAAAAACTACATGCGTGTTATGGTCGGGTGCGTGTTATCGAGCGAAAAATATGGTATCTATGCAAGGAATATCAACTGTACGAGAAATGGTACCAACTAATGGTACTAACAGGACACCCGAGGCCCATTGCAGCTGAAAAAATGCCTCCAATTTTAATATAAAAAAGAATGGGAAACGTTTATTGCATATTGATAAAAGCAGTACACATAGGTTAATACATTAGCAGGATTAATTTTTTTAAAAAACCCACCTGTAATGGTTAAATTTAAAGTAAGGACAGTCCCCAGATTTACAAATCAGTCCCCATACAAAATCCATTGAAGTTTAAAAGTATCCCCGGACTCATTGAAAAAAAATCTGATAACCTTAAATTAGTGATGATGATTTTATTGAAGAAGAAGAAGAGTTTGGATTTGATATCCCACCTTTCACTCCCTTTAAGGAGTCTCAAAGCGGCTAACATTCTCCTTTCCCTTCCTCCCCCACAACAAACACTCTGTGAGGTGAGTGGGGCTGAGAGACTTCAGAGAAGTGTGACTGGCCCAAGGTCACCCAGCAGCTGCATGTGGAGGAGCGGAGACGCGAACCCGGTTTCCCAGATTATGAGTCTACCGCTCTTAACCACTACACCACACTGGCTCTCCAGTTATGATAATGAATGATGATAATACAAAGGAACCGGGGAGGCAAGTCAAATAATCCCATAATGTGGGATTAACATTGATTGTGTATACAGTTGTTTTTTTTAAAAAAAATTCTTTAATGTAATGATTTGGTTTTTTGTGAAAACTAAAAAAATATTATACAGTGGTAACTTGGGTTAAGTACTTAATTCGTTCCGGAGGTCTGTTCTTAACCTGAAATTGTTCTTAACCTGAACTTTAGCTAATGGGGCCTCCTGCTGCCGTTGAGCCGCCAGAGCACGATTTCTGTTCTCATCCTGAAGCAAAGTTCTTAACCTGAAGCACGATTTCTGGGTTAGCGGAGTGTATAACCTGAAGTGTATGTAACCTGAGGTACCACTGTATATATTAAAAAATTGCATCCAATTTTGACAGTGTTATTACAAACCACTTCATTCAGCCCTGCAACATCTTGCGAAACAGCGATATACTAATATGCAGCTGTTATTATGTGACATTGGTCAAGGCTTTCTGGGAAATAATATATGAGTTTAAAGAAAATGTTTGAAAATACATTTGTCAAAAAGCCAGAAGCCTTCTCACTAGGTATAAGACTTCTTATGTCTGCAACGATGTCAGCAAGAATGCAACTAGCCCAATGGGGCTTAGATTGGATTGTTATGAATGAAAAAAAATTAGTAAAAAAATATTTCAAAAGAGAATGCTACTTGCCCAATTAATGGGGCTTAGATCGGGTTATTAATGAAAGAAATGATAAAAAAAATTAAAAGAAGAGAGAATGCTACTAGCCCAATTAATGTGGCTTATATTGGATTGTTATTAATGAAAAAATTAATAAAAAATTATTTAAAAAGAGAATGCCACTAGCCCAATTAATGGGGCTTATATGGGATTGTTATTAATGAAAAAATTAATGAAAAAATAATTTACAAAGAGAATGCCACTTGCCCAATTAATAGGGCTTAAATCAGATTGCTATGAATGAAAATAATAGTAAATTCTTTAAAAGAAGAAGAGAGAACGCTACTAGCCCAATTAATGGGGCTTATATTGGATTGTGATTAATGAAAAATTAATAAAACATTATTTAACAGAAGAAGAGAGAACGCTACTAGCCCAATTAATGGGGCTTATATTGGATTGTTATCATTATCATTATTTTTCCAGGCCTTCCCATCTAGAGCCCAGAAACCCCGTAACAGTTACCTTCTCAAAGTGATGAATTGCCAGCCAGATTTCCCCTTGCGCATTGAACACACAGCCGAGGTTACTCCACGCCACAGCAAAGTTGGGTTGGGTCTCGATGGCTTTCAGGTAGCAGGCCTTGGGAGGGTCGAGAGGTAGGTAGGTACAGGGGGAAGGGGGTATTTGCACAAAAGAAAAGCAAGAGAAAAGTCCCAGTTAGTATCCCTCCTCTGACCGGCCAAAAGTGATCCTGCGGTAGAGGCTCGCTCGCTGGCGCCAAAACTAGCGTGCTGGCGGGTGATGCTGCGCCGGCGCAAACCAGGACCCGAGTGCAAATCCACCATTGTCAGTTATGCTGACCCTTCGATATATAGCAATTCTTTCCTAGCAAGCAATTCCTCGGCCAAGGCCAGGGCAGTTGCTTTCACACTCGCAATCAGCTTCCAATACGCCGCCGTTTGGATTGCAACAGTTTGGATTGCCGCACAGTTTGGATAGCATCCTGGCTGAGGTCAGATGATTGGGCCAGTCTCTCCCAAATATTCTCCAGTTGTCAAAATGACAGCAGGGCCTTGGTTCTCAAACGCCGAAGACCTGGAAGGAAGCTTCAAATTCTTCTTTTACAGCAGCCTTTTCTCAACCTTGGGTCCCCAGTTGTTGTTGGACTACAACTCCCATAATTCCTAGCCCGCATGACCTGTGGTCAGGGATGATAGGAGTTGTAGTTCAAGAACATCTGGGGACCCAAGGTTGAGAAAGGCTGTTTTACAGGAAGGTTCAACTTTACTTTCCTCTTCACACGGACAAGAGGAGGTTTCATTTCGGGAGCCACAAAATCCCTGCTACTCAAACGCCGAAAACCCAGAAGGAAGGGTTAATTCTTCTTTTACAGAAAGGTTCATATGGACAATAGGGCAGTTTATGAAAAAGAAATTTTGGAAAATGTCTGCTCCAGGGGTCTTATCTTACTACACTACGGATTATATAGCTATCTCTGAAATTTCATGCATATCAGTTAATATCTTGACCCAACTCCACTGAAAAGCATTGGGTGTTCAGTAGGGCGGTTCATAAAAAACTTTTTTTTGAAAATGCCTTCTCCAAAGGTACTACACGAGGGACCCTCCTTCATGAAAATAGCCGTTTTCCTATATCGTGAAGGCTGAAATGTCAATTCAGTGGAGCCGGGTCAAGATATTAACTGATATGCATGAAATTTCAGAGATAGCTATATACTGTAATCCCTAGTGTAGTAAGAAAATACCTTTGGAGAAGGCATTTCCCCCCCCCCAAAAAAAGTTAATATGAACCACCCTAATGGACAGGCGCAGGTTTCCTTTTGGGAGTCACAAAATCCCTGCTACTCAAACACCTTGGTTCCCAAACGCCAAAACCCCGGAAGGAAGCGTTCCTGTTTCTGGAGCTTTTTGGAAGCCAGATGTCTGACGCAGCTGTCGGCGATTGTTTCTGGGGCGCCTGCACCAATCAGAAGCTGCGCCTTGGTTTCCAAACATTTTGGAAGTTCAACAGGCTTCCGGAATGGATTAAGTTTGGCGCTTTGGTTTTTGCAATTAATTTTGCTCTTTTGTTACTTCTTGTATAGTACAGTACATTATCACTTTCATTTTATGGATCAATGGTCTTGTTAGATAGCAGAATTCGTGTTCAATGGCTGTTTTTGTAAAAGTCTGGAACGGACGGATCCATTTTGCATTCCTTTCCATGGGAAAGCACGCCTTGGTTTTGGAACGCTTTTGAAACTGACTTCCAGAGCGAATGAAGTTTGAGAACCGTGGTAACCGGTCATTAAAACTTCCCTAAAGGTTCAGCCTTGCCGGCATCCTTGGTTTTGGAACGGATTCCGTTTGAGAACCAAGGGACTACTGTAAGTAGAAATTACATTATAAGATCCAGAATACCCCATGACACGGTCTCTCTCTTTTTAAAGAGCAAAAACTTGGCTCTCCAACCCTGAACTCACCTGTGCAGGACGCACACCTGAATGTTACTTTCACAACCTCAAATGACAGCTTTGCACAAAGGTCCCGGTCCCTGCAATGCGAGCGCAAGAAGTCGCCAGCGCCCCCTAACAGCACGCCGCTCGCGCCCTCGCTGCCAACTGCCGCGCTTTGCCGCAACGCCCCTGGGTGCTATGAGTGGCCAACCAGACTGATTCATCTGCCGGACAGGCCTACGCAGAAACTCAGGGGGGTGGGGAGTCTTAAATTTGTGCCGGAAACCTCAATGCATCACAACCCAATTTTGCCGAGAGGCCTAGAGGAGCCGCCCACATGGAGATGAATCGTCTAGTCCACCATTCACAAGGGCCCCATCACACGCCGTGCGCATTTCCGCTGCGCCGCCCTTGCGCTACCGCAGGACCACAGCGCGTCATCGGCAGAGCAGAACGCTGCAATCCAAACAAAGAAGGAAAAAGGATAAAAAATGAACCACCGGGAAGAGTTAGATACTTTTAACTAAGTCCTTTCCCAATTATCTCTTTTAAATCTTAAGGTACTTTTTTACGTTTATTTCTCGGAAAGAAACGTGGCTAGGACTATCAATTGCTCTCTAACGTTACTCGCTCGTACAGAAAATACTTAAGCAGTTTCCGAAGCCACAAGACAGAAGATTCAGGCATGGAGCAAATGGTTTTTGTCGTGGCAGTTACAAACCCGTTACCATATTTCTCATGTGAGTTTTCGGTGCGTTCCTTCCTGGAAGAGGAGGAGGAGGAGAGTTTCTGCTTTAGATCCAGCCCTCGAGCTCCCTCTCCTTACGCATGGAAAAGGTTTCCCCCACCTGAAACCTTCTAAATGTAATATCAGTGGTGGAAAACCAAAAACGAGAGAGAAAATAAAACAAGATCATTAGTAAAAAGTTCCAACAAAGCAATCGAAAATCTCTGGGTACGTCTTAACACGGGGGGTGGAGGGGTGGGGGGCGGTTGGTCTGTATCGGGGGGGGGGCATGCAGAAGGGAAAGGGGTTAATGGGGGGCAACAGCAAACTGGAAGAAAGGCTCCGAAACTCCCGCAACAATTGAATTTCAATTCAGGTGGTAAAGATTGTGCTGGTTTGGTCTTGCAAATGCACTGATGGCCAAAGAAATACATTGCCGTTTGTCCAGAATATATATAGATGTATCCCCCCCCCCCCCGGTTTAATGGAGTTCTCGCGAAAAACGGAATAACACTTTCAAGCTAGGCGTGTCTCTCCAGAGCTCTGAAACAAAGAAGTCAGCAACCTAAGGCAGGCGCGGTATCTCAGCTGGTGACCAGTCACGCTAGAAGCCGCGGTGGTGTGCGATTCGAGTTAGCTGTCCGCCTGGCGCTTTGGAGAAGGCGTTTGGATGCCCCTATTCAGACTCGGCACAATGGGGCTGCCTGGAGCGGCTGCCTGCCCAATCTGCGCTTGGAATTTGTCCATTCCCAGAACCCGAGAGCGGATTCTCCTGGAAATCGGCTTTTCTTGTCTCCCCCCCTCCCCAGAACGGCAACCAGTCGGAAGCTACACTGTTGACGCACCCCACTCGAACGCACGCGCATGGGGCTAGAAGCGAAGGACCTCCGGAGCTACTCCTCGTTCCTCCGCGCCCCGGTAGCTGCGTTAAGGTGGCTTGTAACAAGGCAATTTCGGGTCCCATTGGAAAGCCCCCCTTGGCGGAGAGCCGTTTTGGGGTTCGAATTCTCGGCTGGAAACCGGACTGCTAGAAGCCACCTTCCCACTCTCGGCCGCACGTTTTTCTTTGATCAGCTCATCTCCCGAGCAAACCAGCCACATCACTTGACCCTTTGGACAAAGACATATTGTTCGAAGGAAGCAAACCAGGACCAGGACTATTTGCCAGCCTTTCTTCCACTGTGGAGACGGGGGGGGGGGGGAGTTTAAAGAATAGTCTTTTTTTCAATGCCATATTCAGAAGGAAACATTCGATAAGGTTCTTCTCCACTTACAAGCCGCAAAGGACTTTAGAAGAGCGCCTGCTTCTCACAGGAACCACGGGCTAAGTCAGCAGGCAAGCCTCAGTTTGGAAGGAATGTTTCTTTCCAGATCAGAGAATGGTGGCGCCCCTGAGTCACATCACAATAGTGGGTAGTCTCGTTCTGCGGCAAGACTCAATGTCTTAAAACCAAGTATTAACGGGGGCTTGCCAGATCTGGCCCCGCAACTACGCTGGGGGAATTCAAGGCCTTCGGCTTCTCAGCCATTTCTCGGGAGTCTCGCAGGTCAGCGGAGCATCGAAGACTTGGCGCAAGCGTTCACATTCTCAAAAGACTGATGTTTTAAAACTCATTCTACAGAACACCTACCTTGGCTTCTTCCAAGCGACCCAGGGCTTTGAGCAGATTCCCCAGGTCACTACGCACGCAGTACAAGTCCTGGAAATTAAACGCATCGGGTCAGTCCCCAAAAGAGGAAATGGCAATGTGAAAAGATCATATACAGTGGGGCCTCGGTTCTTGAGCAGCTTAGTTTCCGAACAACTTGGAACCTGAAGGCTACAAGCCCGTAAGGGGGAGTTCCGGTTTTCGAACTTTGCCTCAGAAGCTGAACGGGTTCCTGAGCTTCTGTTTTTACTGTTGTGCAGAAAATTTAAGTCCCCCCCACAATTGTAATTAAGGTTTTTCTCATCCTGTTTTACCCTTGTGCAGCAAATTTAAGTCCCCCCCCCATTGGGTAATTAAGGCTTTTTTCATCCTGTTGTACCCACACAGCTAATTCAAGTCCCCCACCCCGCATTGTAATTAAATCCTTCCATTTCTGATTGCCATGTTCTGAGGCAATATTTGGTGCTTTTGTTTTTGCTATTTTTTGCGTTTTTGTTTGTGTGGCTTTTTCATTTTTGTGACTGTGGCTTGTTTTTTCGTTTTATGATTGATTGATTGATTGATTGATTGTGTGACTGCAGAAATGCATCAGAGCACCCCATCCAAACAATGACTATCATTAGTTCAGGTCAGAAAAAAAATATTGTAATTTTTATCATCTACGATACTGTCTTATTTCTTTTATACTACAGAACATTAATGATTGCTTTCATTTTATGGATCAATAGTCTCGTTAGATCAGGCATGGCCAAACTTGGCCCTCCAGATGTTTTGGGACTACAATTCCCATCATGCCTGACCACTGGTCCTGTTAGCTAGGGATGATAATAATAATAATAATAATAATAATAATAATAATAATAATAATAATTTTTATTTATACCCTGCCCTCCCCAGCCAAGGCCGGGCTCAGGGCGGCTAACAAGCAATAATAAAAACAAGTTGAATGAATACAACTTAAAAACAAGATTGAAATACAACATTAAAATATTAAAATGCAGCCTCATCACAGGAGGAGAAAGGGAAAAGAAAAAAGAAAGAGGGGGAGGGAGTCAAATTGGCTCCAAGCCAAAGGCCAGGCAGAACAACTCTGTCTTACACGCCCTGCGGAAAGAAATCAGATCCTACAGGGCCCTGAGAGTTGTAGTCCCAAAACATCTGGAGGGCCAAGTTGGGCCATCTCTGCATTAGATAGTAAAATGCATGTGAAATGGCTGTTTTAGGGGTTGTTTTTCAAATTCTGGAACGGATTAATCCATTTTGCATTCCTCTCTATGGGAAAGTGCACCTGGGTTTTGGAAAGCTTTGGTTTCAGAACAGACTTCCAGAATGGATTCAGTTTGAGAACCAAGGTACCACTGTACATAGAAATTGTACAGTCTCTCATTATCTTCGTCCTTCGTATGCTTGGTTCCTTTAAACATCAGAACCTTGCGGAAACGGACAGGTCTTGAAAACACCACCAAGAATAACACAGCAGGTAGCACTCCTTTGTTGATTCAACGTGGGGACAAAGTCAGCCCCACTTAAGACCCCCAAAGCGCTGCCCCAGATTAATATATGTGGCTGTATGGACTCTGATCTTCCTGGACTGGTACCAACAACAGGGGGAAGACACAAGCAATGAAAGGAGAGTAGCATAGATGGCCAGTTTCAGGTGGATAACCGTGTTGATCTGTCATATTGTTGTTTAGTCATTTAGTCGTGTGCGACTCTCGTGACCCCATGGACCAGAGCACGCCAGGCACTGTCATATTATGACTATGATCTGTCATAGTCATAATAAATAACAGGATGAAAGATGAAAAATTCTTTCTGAATAATTCCAGTGCCACCTTAAAGATCAACTAAATATAAGCTTTCAAGGTATGAGCTTTGACCTGTACCTCCCCAAAACAGGGCTTTCCTTCCCCAAAGAAGGTCAACAACTTTGACCCCCCCCAAATGGGGGTAGATCACTGCCAGTTTTTAATTCTGTAAGTAGATCGCAGCCTTTTGGGAGTTGGCCAACCCTGATATACAATTAGAAGATGGGGAACAATTATGGAAAGAGGGAATTAATTTGATGGCTTGCAGTTCGCTGAAAGAAAATGCTGCGGCATCTTTTAAGGCAGAATACTCTTCCTCGGGGCAAATAGGGGTTGCCTGAGTCGTGAATGAAAATGTTAGGGAAATGTATTCTGGCAACCTCCCTCTTACACTCTTTTGAGAATTCAACTGACTGCTTTTGACACCCTTCTGATGCAAACTGGGCATGGGGCCCTCTAACAACCAGTAACTCATCTAATAGTTGAAATAAATAAATAAAATCTGAGTATCTGACGAAGTGTATATTACACATGAAAGCTCATACCTTGTATTTAGTTGATCCTTAAGGTGCCACTGGAACTAAAAAAGATTTTTTGTCTTTCATCTTGTTATTTGTTATGATAGATGGGCAGTGTAAGCCATCACCTGGGCACTTGTTTAAGAGTGTTTAAAAACGCTCTTTCAAACAGTCAGAGCAAAAGTGATCCCATATTTCTATGCATCAGCAAACCTGCTTCAAAAAAAGACTAGGAAACTACTGAGGGGAGTTCAAGCCTTTAGACATAGGTGAAATCATTACAGTGCAGTACCACTACAGCCTCGAAAATACCTAAGAGACTTAAAAGGTAAAAGTAAAGGGACCCCAGACCATTAAGTCCAGTCGCGAACGACTCTGGGGTTGCGGCACTCATCTTGATTTACGGGCCGAGGCATCTGGTGTGCAGCTTCCGGGTCATGAGGCTAGCAAGACTAAGCCGCTTCTGGCGAAAGCAGAGCGGCGCACGGAAACTCCGTTTACCTTACTGCCTGAGTGGTGCCTATTCATCTCCTTGCACTCGGACGTGCTTTCGAACAGCTAGGTCGGCAGGAGCTGGGACCGCGCGACGGGTGCTCACCCCGTTGCGGAGATTCGGACTGGTCGACCTTCTGACCGGCAAGCCCAAGAGGCTGTGGTTTGCACCACAGCGCCATCCGCATTCCCACTTCCTAAGAGTCTTGGCCTTTCTGAATAAGAAGAGCCAGCTGCAAAGCTTTCGAATCTGAAAATGGAATTGCTTTCGGAATCGCACTGTTCAAACCACAACTTAAGATTTCGGAGGGGACTCAGCCTTCTCCCGGAGGAATTCAACTTACAGGGTTGTACTGCAGGGCAGAGACATAGGCCTGCACCGCTCCTTCCATGTCGCCTGCGGCAACTAAAGCAGCGGCGAGGTTGATGTATCCGTCAATGAAGTCCGGCTTGAGGCGCAGGGCATGCCGATAGTGCTCGATCGCCTCCTGCAGTTGGCCCCGTTCCTTGTACACGTTCCCCAGATTTGAGTAGGCTTCGGCCAGCAGCGGATTCTGCTTGATTGCCAAAGTGCTGAAGTGAGCAGACCTGGGGGGGGGGGACGCAATATCATCTGGCATTTAATCTAATAGGTACTTTCGTTTTTGTATATATAAAAAATTTCCTCTTTTATAACCAATTACAATCAACAATTATTCAATTTTACATTTTACATTCTGTCCCGCCCCGCAACTTCCCTCATCTTCCATTTCTGGTTTGTTACAAACAGTGTTGTTTTCTGCATGTTGATGTACCGTATTTTTCGCCCTATAGGACGCACTTTTTCCCCTCCAAAAATGAAGGGGAAATGTGTGTGCGTCCTATGGGGCAAATGCAGGCTTTCGCTGAAGCATAAAGAGCAAGAGGGGTCGGTGTGCACCGACCCCTCTCGCTCTCCAGGCTTCGCGCAGCTCTCCACAAGCCGTGGGAGCCCGGCGCTGGGCTCCCACGGCTTGCGGAGTGCTGCCTGTTCTGGGGGCTGGGGTCGGGGGAAGCTCGGACTTCCCCCGCCCCAGCCCTGCGCCTGGTGGGGAAATATTTTTTTTTTACTTTATTTCCCCCCAAAAAAACTAGGTGCGTCCTGTGGGCAGGTGCGTCCTATAGGGCAAAAAATACAGTGCTTTAAATATTGTTACCTTATCTTCCTCCATATGATAATGAAATAAAATTGTGAATGTTTATTCAAAACCTGCCAATGAATCCATTTCTTTATGTTGTTTTTGTAAATAGGTTGTAAAAGATTCCCATTCATTTTAAAAATCTCTATTGTCTTTTTCATGCAACTTATCTGTTGACTTTGCTAATTCTGCATAGTTCATTAGTTTTTCTTGCCACTGCTCTTTCGTTGGTACTTCTTCAGTCTTCCAACCTTGAGCTAATAAAATTCTTGCCACTGTTGTAGCATACATGAATATTTTCCGTTTCTCTTTCAGTAGTTCATGAGCTGAGATGCCTAACAAAAAGGCTTCTCACTTTTTAACAAATGTCATTTTGATCACTTTTTTCAATTCATTATATATCATTTCCCAAAAGTTTTTAAGTATTTTACATTCCTACCACATATGATAAAAAGTGCCTTATCTAATAGGTACTTTCAACCCTCTTTGGTACCATCACCATCACATTATTTGATGGTGTACAGAAATCTACAGAACTTCCACACAAAACCATGATTCCTGGCTTGAGGCAAACAAATTCTGCTTGAGCAGTGGGAGAAGTAAATTGCATTTTGTGCAACCTGACAAGATGCCCACTCTTTTAATCTGAACCCATTAGGAGTTCCAGCTGATAAATGTTCAGTTTAATATTTGCATTTCTCTGCTCTCTGCCACATCCACCTGCACTTGCAACCACATTGTCAAAAACCTTCTGAATTAGGTGCCAAAATCCCAATGGAGCAGAAAAGATTACTGATGTATGCAACCACAGCTGCTCGGATCTTAATGGTCCAAAGACAGAAAGAAGACAATGTCCCTAGCAGAGAAGAATGGCAGATTAAGTTGATGGAACCAGGCAGAGGGCATTCCCAGTGGTGGCGCCTGCCCTGTGGAACGCCCTCCCATCATATGTCAAAGAAATAAACAACTATAGGACATTTAGAAGACATCTGAAGGCAACCCTGTTTGGGGAAGGTTTGAAGGACTGATGTTTTAATGTATTTTTACTCTTTTGTTGGAAGCCACCCAGAGGCTGGGGAAACCCAGTCAGATGGGCAGGGTAAAATATATTATTATTATTATTATTATTATTATTATTATTAATGCCAAATTGGCAAAAATGACCGGAAGATCAGAAAACAGGAAGACCAAAATTTCAATAAGGAATGGAGGAAATATATAATTTACTATATCTTAAAAACCATTGTAGACAGCTAAAATCATGGGTAGGCAAACTAGGGCCTGGGGGCCAGATCTGACCCAATCACCTTCTAAATCCAGTCCATGGACAGTCCAGGAATCAGTGTGTTTTTACTAGAGTAGAATGTGTCCTTTTATTTAAAATGCATCTCTGAGTTACTTGTGGGGCATAGAAATTCGTTCTCCCCCCCCCCAAAAAAATACAGCCCCCCCCAAGGTCTGAGGGACAGTGGACCGGCCCCCGGCTGAAAAAGTTTGCTGACCCCTGCCTAAAATCATTAGCAGGATGACTATGACACTTGTAGTTTAATGTTGACTTCTGGACGTAATGGAGATGTAAAAGATGTGGATTATTATAAAATATGCCAGAGGAAATGGTTAACAAAAGGACCCTCAAAGGGTAGAAGGCAAGCCCAGGAGATTCTTTAGAATCTTGTTTTCATGTTGGTTTGTTGGATAATCGATTGTATTTTTCCGTCTGTAAGACGCCCCCATGTACAGTGGTACCTCTGGTTATGAACTTAATTCGTTCCGGAGGTCTGTTCTTCAGCTGAAACCGTTCTTATCCTGAGGCGCGCTTTCACTGAAGAGGTCTCCCGCAGCGCACACTTCGCAACCAGGGGTAGCCACTTTCAGGTTAGCAAAGCTCATAACCTAAAACGTTCATAACCGGAAGCATTTGTAACCAGAGGTACCACTGTATAAGACGCCTATTTTGGGGGACTCAGATTTAAGAATATGGGGGGAGATGCCCTAGAACAGGGATCCTCAACCTTCAGCCCTCCAGATGTTTTGGACTACAATTCCCATCACCCCTGACAACTGGTCCTGTTAGCTAGGGATCTAATTTACCAAAGGAAAGGGACCCAGCTATCAGCAGCGATCGACCAAATCCTCCCGGGGGTCTCTACCAGTAGATCATGCAAGACCTGTTGGATATCCCTGTTATAGATCATATCCCAACATGCTTTTACTTTACTTTTTACTTTTACTATACGGCCTAGGACACTTGTACCTATGGGACCACCTCTCCTGGTATGCCCCACAGAGGACTTTACGGTCTACAAATAACAACACCCTGAAGATCCCGTGCCCCAGGGAGATTAGACTGGCCTTGACCAGAGCCAGAACCTTTTCGGTCGTGGCCCTGGTGGAACACTCTCTCACAAGAGACCAGGGCCCTGCGGGACTTGACATCTTTTTGCAGGGCCTGCATGACGGAGCTGTTCCACCACGGTTCAGCCTGACTCATTTTCTCTTTGTATAAGAACAAACACTAAGGAGGTTTCCCAGGCCACTCACAGGTCCTTATAATATCAGTGGAAACACTTCCGGGTTGGCGCCATCGCCGAATGGCGGATTCCCTCCGAGCTCCGGAGGGAATCTGCTCGACAGGGGTCGGGTTCTGCCGTGCCGGCGACGCGGGGACCCTCAAAAACCACGGGCGCGGATGCCCGTGGACCTGGTGACTCGGCGGGCACCATTTGCGCCCTCCCGACCTGCGAAGGAGCCTTTTTAAAGGCTACGGAGCGGGGGACGGGGAGTGCTGTGAGTCTACTGCTTCCCCTGCCGAGCGAAGCCGCATGCCATTCGTCGGAGAGCGCTGACTTCTTCTTCTGAAAATTTGGACTAAAAACTAAAAACAACAACCCGTGAGTAATTTGGAAATTGGACTAAAAACTTTTCTTTGGATTCGGTACGAGCGGGGGAGGTGCAAAGAGGAAGTCCGTCTCCCCCCCATTGTAAACATTTTAAAGCAAGGATTTGACAACTAAGGTCGAGAGAAGAGCCTTTCCCCCCCCCTTTTTTTTGGATAAAAGTTATTAATTGCACGGATTGAAAGTATAAGTAATTGTGCTGGAGGATAAGAGCTTACTTTTTGATTAAAGTGCCACCCCTCCCGGGACCGGGAGTGATCCGTGAGAGGAGCCTGCTGAGGAGACACAGAAGATTTTGACAGCTGTCAAAGTCGGAAAAAATAGAAAATTTTATTTCTGATGTTTTTGCCGGTTACATTAGATACAATATAGCTACAAGTTGTTGAAAATAAAGAAGGACTGAAACAAACTAACTTGACTTTTGGGTTGGAAGTGAAAGGAATACTAAATAACCAGAATCCCTCTAGAGGGGGTTCAGGGACATTACAAGAATGGAAATAGGTCGGAAAATACTAGCTGACCTGGACGAGGTTGCTTTTCTCATTGGAAAGTTGCGAAGGATGTATGAGCAAGGTCATGCTTTGTCTACAAGTGCCATAACTTGGAAGTCAACAGCAAATGTATCTACTGAGTTGGAAAAGGACTTGATGTACAAAACCCAGGCAGCTGAACAAGAAAAGAAACTAGAGAAAACTGAGGAAGTGGAGGAAGAGATACACGCTGTACAGGACGAGCAGAAAGGAGGGGCTGCAATGCTGCAGAAGGCAAATGGGAGCCGGAGGCCTGTCAAGATGGATATAAAAGAAAATAAGGACTGGATGAGGAAAATTTGGTTTGAACTTAGAAATAAGGAATGGAAAGATCTCCTTTTGGGGGGATCTGAAGATCTATGGACTATAAATTTGATCAAGGTGGAAGCTGGAGCTCCTGGGACATTTGGACTTAAAAGGATTAAGAAACAAGATTTGACCTCCACCTTTAAACATGGAGGTCTGGCTGGAAGGAACATGGACATTATAGGGATAGTGCCCCTCCGAGACTTGGTGTTAAATATAAAGGACTTTCAAAGAAACCGGCAGAGAGGGATTGAGAGAGACTTAAGGGCCTCGGACGTGAGGTTGCCAAGCTGATAGCAGATGGACTAATGGACAATGGTTCTGGGATCGAAACCGGGGAAGGGAGGATGGGGTTTGGAAATCCAAAGGGTGTTTGATTTTTGCTACTCTTTTTTTAATTTTGTGTTGTTATTAGTATAAGAATGGGGAATTTGTGGAAGGGAAACTGGGTCGACCTTAGAAAAAGTTTTTAAATATAAATGATTGAGGTATATAAGTTAAAAGTTGATATATAAATTGAATTAAATATAATAACAAATTAAGGTTAAAAATATAATATAATAAATAATAAATAAGGTTAAAAATTTAGGGATAAGAACTTGTTGGATAAATATTTGGACATGGAATACAAGAAGGGGAGGTGAGGGGAAGTTGCGGAAAAAAGTTATTGAAATTGGGATTGTAAAGGATGAATTATTTTTTTCTTGTTCTTTTTCTTTTGTTTTGTATCACTTGAAACTCTAATAAATATTATTTTAAAAAATATATATATAATATCAGTGGAAACAGTTGATCCAGGCAAATATTAACCGCTTTCCATTTTAACCTGAGGATTGCCATTTATCCAGTCTAATCTTAATTTCAATTTATTTGAATTAATTTTAGGATGCATTTTAATCGTTTGATTGCTTGTTTTTATGTATATTGTATTCTTTATATGATTCAGGTAGGTAGCTGTGTTGGTCTGACACAGTCGAAATATATATAAAAATAAAAAAGAATTGTCCAGTAGCACCTTAGAGACCAACTAAGTTTGTTCTTGGTATGAGCTTTCGTGTACATGCACACTTCTTCAGATACACTGAAAGAGAAGTCAGGGTAGTAGGAGATGGGTGATTGGCTCATTGGGTATGGTAAACCTGTTGAGGACTGTTAAGGACTGCAAATACAGTAGCACCTTGGGTTACAGATGCTTCAGGTTATAGACGCTTCAGGTTACAGACTTCGCTAACCCAGAAATAGTACTTCGGGTTAAGACCTTTACTTCAGGATGAGAGCAGAAATGCACAGCAGCGGCACAGCAGCAGCGGGAGGCCCATTAGCTGAAGTGGTATTGTTTTAAACAAAACCTGCCCTTATTCCCTTATGGGGTACAGAAGAGCCCTTATAGAGTCCTTTGTATGTTTTCCATCAGTAGGAGAAAATAACAGAGGCCAATGAGAGAATATTGAGAAGTAAAGCAGTTCGTAAGCCTGATCTTTATTAAAGCTGTTGCAACAGGGTACTCCCCTCACACACAGGAGAGATGAGGAGGACCCACAACAAAGGTGTGCCTCCCCTTATATAGACATTTTGAAATTCCCTGCCCTGGAGCTTAAGACCACCCCCAGAAACATCATACATACATCACAGAAGTGGTGTAGCCCAAGACCACCCCCCAGATACATCATACCTACATCATAGAAAAGGCGGTTGACAACAGAAATCTGAGTGCTTTGTTTATCTCCTGTATGCCAGGTTATCTGATAATGCCTTATCTGATTGCCTTTCCTGATAGTCTGGCCATTCCTTTGAGATGGTAATCACTTAACTCATGAGACAATGGGAAGGTTCCCTCACCCTCTCCCTCCTTGCAGAGAAACATTTGGTCAGTTTGGGAGTCAAAATGGTTTCAGGACTGTATTCCTGTGCTGCTCCAGACATGTGGTTTGTATATTTATGTACATGTTTCTTTGGTACATTTATGAACATTTATTATATATCTAAGACCTTAAAATTCTTATAACAATTCCCCCCTTTGAGGATGTAATTTTTTCTTTGAAATTTTTGCCCCACAAATAATAACATGGTATGTTGTAAGTGGATGCCTTTGTGTAAATATAGGATATCACATAAAAATAACACATGTTGCATTTTGTTACTAAACTACTTGTGGCATTCTAACACTTTGGGAGAAACATTTACTCAGTAGTGGTCTATGCTTTATACACTTAGCAGGAAGGTCCACTAATGACTGAAAAATGCAGTTTGTTTTGTTTGTGCCTTTTTTTGCATGTTCTCAGGCGTCAAAGTTAGCTTCACCATACCACAGCAACAACAATCCCTGATGAATCCCCTTACGGCTTTCATTTTGGCCACGTAGCCTTGTCTTTGCCTTGGGCTTTCTATGGGATTTTATTATCAAAGGCTCATGTCTTCCACTCATGGGAAATTGCTCACTTGCTCTTAAGGGACCAAAAAGCTAGTTGCAGCCTGGATAAAAAGGTAAAGGGACCCCTGACCATTAGGTCCAGTAGTGACCGACTCTGGGGTTGCGGCGCTCATCTCGCTTTATTGGCCGAGGGAGCTTCCGGGTCATGTGGCCAGCATAACTAAGCCGCTTCTGGCGAACCAGAGTAGCGCACGGAAACGCCGTTTACCTTCCCGCTGGAGCAGAACCTATTTAGCTACTTGCACTTTGAGGTGCTTTCGAACTGCTAGGTTGGCAGGAGCAGGGACCGAGCAACGGGAGCTCACCCCGTCGCAGGGATTCGAACCACCGACCTTCTGATCGGCAAGTCCTAGGCTCTGTGGTTTAACCCACAGCGCCACCCATGTCCCCTTGCAGCCTGGATACACTTGCCTTATTCAAACTGAGTCCAATTAGAATTTATATAGCCCCATGGTTCTCAACTTTTCAAATCAATCTGTAATACAAACAAACAAACAAAAAACACTATTCCGGAAAAAGGGTACTTGTCCAAATTAGTCAATTTAACTCTCTAAGGGATCATTCCTGCTAAATCAAGGCATATATGCCTTCATGAATCTGGTGTTTTCATGGATCCTTGGTTAAAGCGAGTTTTAACCCATTTTAAAATGGGTAGGGAAGGTTGGCAAAGTGCCAGGTGGGACAAGGAAATGTGGTCATAATATTGGACTACGCAATAGCCTGATCTATTAGAAAGCATAAAATGCACGAGAATCCTCCATTGGGGTGTAAACAATAAGACACCATAAACTGAACATAAAAACAATTACACACAATAATTGGGTCCCCCCTTTGTGAAAATGACATACTGTCAGACACATTTTAGCATTCCTACATAATAACTCATAATACACACAACATACAAATAATCCCACACCAGTTGGATATCTTGAGGCAATCATGTGATTTTGAGACAATTCTTCCTGTTTTACATCTCTTTGACAAATTTTTTGTTAATTTGGACACAGTACTTCAGGTTAAGAACAGTTTCAGCTTAAGGATGGACCTCCAGAACAAATTAAGTTCTTAACCCGAGGTACCACTTTAGTCCTACAGGAGAAAGCAAGGAATAGTATACAAATGATTAGCACATGTAATGAGACAGGAATCCAATATCTCTATTAAGACCAGGTCTCTCCATAGTTTGCAGTTTAATGATAAGTCAACTTATCACTAAACGGCAAATTATGGAGTTTACAACTTGCTGAATTGCAACTTATTACTAAACTGAAAACTATGGAGAGACCTGGTCTGAATATTGGATTCTTGTCTCATTGCATAAGCTAAAGCTATTTTTGGTCATATGCAAACCATCCCTTGCATTTTCCTGCAGGACTAATTGCAGTCGTTCACAGTTGCCAACAGGCTGACCATACCCACTGAATACTACTACCCTTTGGAGAAAACCCCCGCCCCACCCTCCCTCTATATATCAGGGTCTGGGGACTTCTCTTCCCTCTATGTATCAGGGTCCGGGGACTCCCCTCCCTCTATATATCAGGGTCCGGGGACTCCCCTCCCTCTATATATCAGGGTCTGGGTACTTCTCCTCCCACTATATATCAGGGTCTGGGGACTTCCACTTCAGTGTATCTGAAGAAGTCTGCCTGCGCACAACAGCCAAGTGTTATTATTATTGACTACAAGTATTAAGAAGATGTCAATCATGGAAGCACAGGTCTGTAATCCTTTTTTAGGAAAAGGTTCAGCTTTGCTGGCATCCTCTCAATATGGACAAGCAGAGGAAGGTTTCCTTTTGGGAACCATAAAATCACCCATCTCCTACTACCCTTCTGAGAAATACCCCACCCCACCCTCCCACGATGTATCAGGTCTGGGAACTTCTGTTTCACTGTATCTAAAGAAGGGCGCCTGCACACGAAAGCTTCAACCAAGAACAAACTGAGTTGGTCTCTAAGGTGCTACTGGACAATTTTTTATTTTTTTTTTATTTTCGGCTATTTTTGGTCATCTGCATACTCTCCCTTGCTTTTTCCTATCGGACTAATTGCAGTCGTTCACAGTCGCCCACAGGTTGACCATACCCATTGAGTTCTACTACCCTTTGGGGGGAAACCCCGCCCCACCCTCCCACTATCTATCAGGGTCTGGTTAATAATAATAAATAATAAACTTTTATTTGTATCCAGCCCTCCCCGTCCAAACCTGGACTCAGGGAGGCTAACACCAAATATGTAACACTGGTATAAAATCAAGCAATAACGAAATTATCTCCTGAAAACAAGTCAGGATCAAATTCAAATCCAATTAGATGGCTTTCCGCAGGATTAGGGTTGGGAACAGTAAACGCTCGTCAGGCCCAACTGTTTGCGCTGCTCTTATATGGGCCTGTGAGAACGCTGGGAGGCCTCTTTCATACTAGACTTCGGTTTCTGTGTATCGGAAGAAGGGCACATGCCCATGTAAAGCTTAGACCCAGAACAAACTGAGTTGGTCTCTAAGGTGCCACTGGACCATTTATTTTATTTTATTATTTCTATGATGTTAGCCCAGGATTCCTCAACCTCGGCCCTCCTGCTGTTTTGAAACTACAATTCCCAGCATCCCTGACCACTGGTCCTGCTAACTAGGGAGTTGTAGGCCAAAAAACATCTGAGGGCTGAGGTTGAGGACGCCTGTTAGCCACTCTGAGCCCAGTTTCGGCAGGGGAGGGTGGGATACAAATGAAATGTATTATGGTTTTATTATTGTTACTTTGAAAGGCCCCAACCTCCTACCTGTCCAGCCTGCGACATTGGAAGTGAATGGATGAGAGCAGCAACAGGACGCCGGTGTTGTCGGGCTCCTGTCTCCACAGTTGCATGCAGTGCCTCTCAGCCGCTTCAAAGTCTCCTGCCTGGTACTCCCGGTGAGCCAACTCTGCCAGCCCTTGGAAGGAAAGCAGACGTTTTGTTGGTTCTGAAGGATCACCAAGACATTTGGAGGGGGAAACAAAAAGTTAGAAGAGGGGAGGCAAAAGAGGACAGATGGCAGTGTGCAAATAAAAAGGTGAAATGCTTGGCGTGATGCAAAACCCTAAGGGGGTCTGCCAGGCGAACACAAACGGATCAGCTAAGTGTCAAAAGCAGGGGTCAGCAAACTACAATTCCCATCATCCCTGACCCTTGGTCCTGTTAGCTAGGGTCGATTGGAGTTGTAGTCTCCAAACAGCTAGAGGGCCGAGTTGGGCCATGCCTGATCTAGAGCAGTGGCAGCCAAACTTGGCCCTCCTGCTGTTTGGAGACTACAGTGCCCATCATCCCTAACTGCTGGTCCTGCAAGCTAGGTATGATGGGAGTAGTAGGCCAAAAACATCTGGAGTGCCGAGTTTGAGGAAGCCTGCTTTAAGGTATAATCTGGTGGAAGGAAGGCGCGATCATGTTGGGCGCCTTCTGACCTTCTTTGACGTAGAAGCATTGGGAAGAGGGCAACAGGAATGAGCTGCATGTAGGCAGCTGGGGAAGCCATACAGGCTACACCAGCGGTCAGCAAACGTTTTCAGCAGGGGGTCGGCCCACTGTCCCTCAGACCTTGTGGGGGGCCGGACTATATTTTTTGGGGGGGAATGATGGGTGGGGTAGAAATAATAAATTATTATTATTATTATTATGAACTGGGCCTGAGTCTGGACTGGGGAAACTGAGCCAGATGGGTGGGGTATAAATAATAAATTGTTGTTGCTGCTGCTGCTGCTGCACATCTCATAGAAAAGTATGCTAAGAAACTGTGTGGTGGGCTTTACGCAGCCTTCATCGATTTGAAAGCTTCATTTGACTCAATTTTGTGAGTGAAACTCTGGGATAAGTCAAACTCCCCAAGTAAACACAAAAGACAACTGTGATTGATTAAATGCTTATTTCAGGGGTCAGCAAACTTTTTCTGCAGGGGGCTGGTCCACTGTCCCTCAGACCAGTGTTCCCCAACCTTGGGCCTCCAGCTGTTTTTGGACTACAACTCCCATCATCCCTCGCTAGCAAGACCAGTGGTCAAGGATGATGGGAGTTGTAGTCCAAGAACGGCTGGAGGCCCAAGCTTGGGGAACACTGCCTCAGACCATGTGGTGGGCAGGACTATATTTTGGAGGGGGGGGGAATGAACAAATTCCTATGCCCCACAAATGCATTTTAAATAAAAGCACATGTTCTACTCATGTCAAAAACACCAAGCAGGCACCACAAATTACCCAGAGATGCATTTTAAAGAAAAGCACACATTCTACTCATGTACACACACTGATTCCCGGACCATCCAAAGGCAGGATTGAGAAGGTGATTAGGACGCATCCAGCCCCTGGCCCTTAGTTTGCCTACCCATGGTCAAAAGGATCAGTCACCTTTCATTTCATTCGATCCCTTCCAGTGCCATAAAATCCTAGAATTCTAGAGTTGGAAGAGTCCTCTAGGTCTAGTCCAAATGGCAAAATTCAGGAATCTGAACATACAGCCCACCCCAACCAATTTGATACTATACCAGATAGTGTTCGAAACTCAGATATATAAGCTAGGCGCCAAATGGCTCCTTAGACCAAAGTTGCAGTCAACAAAACGGAACGTCTAGTTCTCATTTGGGGGCAAAAAGGCTCCAAAGTCTTATTTTTCAAACGATGGATTGACAGTGATTGATTCTGAGCTGAACATTTGGCTTGTTCAGATGACAATCTTGAGCTAGGTGAAGATCTTTGAGAATTGAAAGAAAAAAAGCCATATATATACAGGCCCATTCCAGCCTCTTTTTCTTAAGGGTGACTGCTCCTACTCAGGGTAGATAAAAATCAATGATTTAAAAAATAAAATAAAAATCAGACTTTTAAAATAAAATGCTTTTGGAGGAAAAATCTTTCTAAAGATAGTTTTCTATTTAAGTTATAGTCCAAAGGCTATAAACTTAGACTGAAGGAAATAAGGATTTGTTTTTAGATTTTCATGTGACTCAGTCTAAGGTTGTTGTTGTTTTTATTTTTAAAAACAGTTAACCGCTTCAGCAGTGGTAGGCAACCTTAAAGATCAACTAAACATAAGCTTTCAAGGTATGAGCTTCCATGTGTAATACACACCACCATATACTCTGAAGCAGACTTTTGCCATAAAAGATGTAACTCACAGCTGACGCACATTTCACCTGCACACATTCAGCTTCACATGCTTGGCTAATAATAGTAAGCCACTCTGGACAGCTTCCAACAAAAGATTAAAAATACTTTTAAATATCAGTCATTTAAAACTTCCCAGAATTAAAAAAAATTAAAGGGCCATGTGCCTTTGGCGATCCCACTCTCCATCGTCCCAAGGTGGTTTCACAAGATGCCGTTTGAGCAAACGTAACCCCCAAGCTAAGTTGAAAATTGCCTGCATATACAGAATTTTTCGTTTGGACACTTTGAACCGTTTTCCAACCGAGATCAAAAAGTTCTAGTGGTTGACATTAGGACATATAGCAAATATTGACCACAAACTCGTCTCTTTCTTCCAGGCAATGTAAAGGGACATCAATCCCCACTCTTTGAGTTGAGTGACTGATGTTTTAATGTACCGTATTTTTCGCTCTATAGGACAGACTTTTTCCCCTCCAAAAATGAAGGGGAAATGTGTGTGTGCGCGCATCCTATGGAGCGAATGCAGGCTTTCGCTGAAGCCTGGAGAGTGAGAGGGGTCGGTGCGCACTGACCCCTCTCACTCTCCTGGCTTCAGGCAGCTATCCGCAAGCCTTTGGAGAGCTCCGTAGACTTGCGGATAGCAGCCTGAAGCCCAGGGCCAACTCCCACTGCGCTCCCCGGGCTTCAGGCAGCTATCCGCAAGACTTCTGAGCGCGGCGGGAGTTCCTGCCAGGCTCCGAAGGCTTGCGGATAGCAGCCTGCAGCCTGGGGAGCGTAGCGTCAACTCCCGCTGTGCTCCCTGGGCTTCAGGCAGCTATCCGCAAGCCTGAAGTCCCCAGCCCCGCAAGCTCTGGGAGCAAAGGCAAGGTTGCCGCTCCCCGACCCGTTCTGGGGTCGGGGGAAGCTCGTGTTTCCCTCGCCCTCAGCCCCGCAAGCTCGCGCAGCCTCTACCGGCTGGAGAGGTTGCGCATGGCTAAAGAGGAAGCCAAGACAGCGAGCAGGATGGATCCCGCTCGCTGTCTTGGCTTCTTTGCTCTTTTTTTTATTCCCCCCCTAAAAAACTAGGTGCGCCCTATGATCCGGTGCGCCCTATGGAGCGAAAAATACGGTATTTTTAATCTTCTGCTGGAAGCCACCCAGAATGGCTGGGGAAACCCAGCCAGATGGGCGGGGTAGAAATAATAAATTATTATTACGATTATTATACCTATATTCTCTGCTGCTCCTGGGAGGGGCTTTGTGGAACCCCTGACTGCAACTGTGTTTCAAATATGTCTGTTTCTTTTGTTCAAAAACAAAAGCAACCACACACTACAGTTCAGGCTTCCTCAAACTTGGCCCTCCAGATGTTTTGAAACTACAATTCCCATCATCCCTGACCACTGGTCCTGCTAGCTAGGGATCATGGGAGTTGTGGGCTAAAAACATCTGGAGGGCCGAGTTTGAGGAAGCCTGCTGTAGTTAAATGAGAATATGCAATGAGCAGATGGCTTCTTAAGGAGTTAGGACCATCACCTCTATCATTCAGGCTGGATGTAATCTTGCACAACATCGACTTCTGTGTAATTTTCCTTTCAAGCCGGCTACTTATTACGAGGTCAGTAAACAAGATCAGCAGAGCAGGTTGACACCTAGAGCTGAATTTCAACTGCGCAGACCTATTTTTTTATTTTCATGTGCTGCCAATGACCAGGCACAGCACTCGAGTATGAGCTGAGATTTAGACTACATCACATTCACATGTCACACTACCTACATAGGGCCTTTGCAAGTAAACCACCCAGGGCCGGATTTATGTATTAGCTCAACAAGCTCTAGCATAGGGGGCCCCAAAAAACATTAAAGGGAAAAAACCTGGATGTACATTTCCAAAATATAAGATAAAAAACGAATAAAATAAAACTGACACACAACAACAGTGTGTGGTGTTGTGTCGGCTCCTATTTGTGATGTGCAAATGGCTTTAGATACCTATCAGGTCCATAACTTACCATATAGCATGTATTCAACACAAAAAACAGCAACAATTTGTTGTTGACATAGGACAGCTGGACACAGAAAGGGCCCCATTACCTTCAGTTGCTTAGGCCCTCATCAAACCTAAATCCGGCCCTCTATCTATCATCAATAATCTATTTAATCTATCTATCTATTATTTATCTATCATCTATCTTATCTATCTATTTCTTTCTCTATGCCAGTGCTGGATTTACGTATAAGCTAAACAAGCTCTAACTTAGGGCCCCACTCTCCTGGGGGCCCCCAAAAAAATTAAAGGAAAAAAACCTGGATGTACATTTCCAAAATAGAAGGTAATTAATCTGAGTTTTCTGGGAAATTTTGAATGCGAAGGTTTTCCAGTGCCCCAAATCTACTAGGAGCTGAGAACACCTGAGTTTCGTACAGCACTATACAGTACATGCTTGCTGTGGATAATGATCTCTTTTTGGTGAATCTGAACTGCCTCATGTGGTTGACATGCATTCATTCTGCTTCCTCTTTACAAAGCAATGCATTTTTAGAAATGGAAATTTCTCTAAGGAAAATAACAAAACGGTAAAAAAATTCCATCCCACTTTGCCGGTCCACAATAGAGGTAGGAACAAAGAGGTGCAGCTTGGGGTGGAGAGAAAAAACAAACACTAATGGTATCCAAATACTAGATCATGGGTAGGCAAACTAAGGCCCAGGGGCTGGATCCAGGCCAATCGCCTTCTCAATTTGGCCCGTGGACTGTCCAGGAATTAGCATGTTTTTACATTAGTAGAATGTGTCCTCTCTGGGTGATTTGTGGAGCATAGGAATTCGTTCATTCCCCACCCCCCAAAATTTTTTTAGTCCCCCCTCCCCCAGGTCTGATGAACAGTAGACCGGCCGTCAGCTTAGAAAGTTTGCTGATCCCTGGACTAGATTGTGCGACTGTCTTTCCGCAATAAACCAACAGTCTTCAGCCAGGTAATTTAGGATATTCAGATTTTTTTTGGGGGGGGTGGTGAACCAGCAACCCCAGATGAGCAGATCTAAGAAGCGTAAATCTGCTTATCTATTTGCCCCAGGGGGTGGTTTGGTCAAGCTGGGTTCCAGGGCTGCAGATAGGCACAGAGGCTGCCCGCCCACCCCAACAAACAGCTGCTACCCTGCCTAGTGACTGTATTTTTCCGTGTATAAGACTGTATTTCCCCCCAATTTCTTTAACTCTTGATTTCCTTGACATCTGATGGGAGGGCATTCCAACACCAAGAAGGCCCTCTGCCTGGTTCCCTGGAAAGGCCCTCTGGAAAGAAACCCTGGCCTCCAGGGTGGAGACGTTCTTTCAGGCCTACTGGGCATAGGTTCTATAGGCAAAGTGAACTCAACACAGGCTCTCCTTGTGCATCACCCACGACAAAACAAGCGTGAGAGAGAGAGCAAACAGTAAGAGAGCGGAAAGAAGCAAGAGCGCCTCTCCTACTCCTATTTATTTGGCTTAGTGAAAAGAAGAAGATCCCCTAAAAAGATTTGCAGCCAGACAAAATGGGTTTTTTAATATTTTGCTGGGAGCCGCCCAGAGTGGCTGGGGAAACCCAGCCAGATGGACAGGGTATAGGTTAAAGGTAAAGGTACCCCTGCCCGTACGGGCCAGTCCTGCCAGACTCTGGGGTTGTGCGCCCATCTCACTCAAGAGGCCGGGGGCCAGCGCTGTCCGGAGACACTTCCGGGTCACGTGGCCAGCGTGACAAAGCTGCATCTGGCGAGCCGCACACAGAAACGCCGTTTACCTTCCCGCTAGTAAGCGGTCCCTATTTATCTACTTGCACCCGAGGGTGCTTTCGAACTGCTAGGTTGGCAGGCGCTGGGACTGAACAACGGGAGCGCACCCTGCTGCGGGGATTCGAACCGCCGACCTTTCGATCGGCAAGCCCTAGGCGCTGAGGCTTTTACCCACAGCGCCACCCATGTCCCATAGGGTATAGGTTAAGCATCCCCAAACTCAGCCCTCCAGCTGTTTTGGGACTACAACTCCCATCATCCCTAGCTAACAGGACCAGTGGTCAGGGACGATGGGAATTATAATCCCAAAACAGCTTGAGGGTCAAGTTTGGCCATGCCTGTTATAGGTGAAACTGACGGGGAAGAATCCGGAACCAGCAAGCCTTCCACAAAGACTGGAATAAATTTACATTACATTTGAAAGACAACTGTAAGCAATCAACATCATTAGCAGGGTGATCTGAAGATTTGCCAGAAGAAACTGGGACCGAATTCAGGATGCATAATGGAATAACTTCGGGAACGACATCACAAGAATAGGAAAGGACGTGAAATGCATAGGAGGCAAAATGGAAGTTTGTAAAAACCATCGGGTGGGAGGCTCAGCAGAGCCAAAGAGATTTGATACGAGGACATGAGGTCATGCAATGCGACTGTATGTCAAATGAATAAAAATTATTTTTTTTAAAAAAAAGCAGATGGGCGGGGTATAAATAATTAATTTATAATCATCACCATCAGTTGTTGTTGTGGTTGTCACTAGACCAGGCATAGGCGAATTCCAGATGATTTGAGGCCACAATTCCCAGCACCCCTGGCCATTGGTCCTGTTAGCTAGGGATGATGGGAGGTGTAGTCCCAAAACAGCTGGAGGGCCTCAGCCTCCGGGGGGTAGCCAAGGCGGCACCACCCGCCACACCCCCACCGCGGGCCGGACCTCTCCCCGTCGGGGGCCAAGCCTGCGTACCTCCCCCCCCCCCGGCCTCCTCCTCCTCCTCAGTCCGACCCCGACGGAGAGGCTCCTTCGCCGCTCTGCGCCCTTTCGGGGCCCAAAAGGCGCTCGGGCCTACCGGGCCCAGGCCGGCCGCCTGAGGGGAAAGACCTCCGTCACATCCAGGGACTCGCGTGCGCCTCGTGGCTCTCCCCTGAGGGGCTAAGCGCCTCCTTCTCCTTCAGTACCTGTGCTGTCGGCAACGTTGCCCACGGAGGCTGCCATGGCTCCAGCGACTCAGCTCCCCGTCCGTCAGCGGCAGCGGCAACTTGCGAAATGGCGGTCGGGGCGCGCGCGGAGGAAAGCGCTATCCAGAACCGGATCTCCTTTCGACAATGTAGTCCCACCGCTTCCCGCGCCTCGGGGGGGGGGGCGGCGCGCTTCCCTGCCGCCGGATGAGAAGTTGAAAAGAAGAAGGGAGGCGAGACGCCGAAGTATCCAGGGCTAGAGAAGCCGAAACGGCTGCCAAGAACCGAGGGCGTTTGCGTATATCCCTCCTCCGCGAGAAAGCCAACACACTGCAGTAGATTGGGCGGCGCGCATGCGCACTGGAGTACACTCGGCACCTCACCTAAGGAAATGCGCGCGCTCCGTCTGCTGGCGCGCATGCGCTCTGAAGGACACTCGCCTCCGCGAAAGAAATGCGCGCGCTCCATCGGCTGACGCGCACGCGCTCTGGAAGACACTCGGCTCGCCTCAGCGAAAGGCTGAGGGGTGCCGCGCGCAAGGGCCGGCGGGAAGGGGGGGAAAGGGCGGGAAAGCGATGGCCGAGGGCTGAGGCAAATCAAGATTCATTCATTCGTATTGTTGTTTTGTTGCGATGGGCGAGGGCTGACGCAAAGATTTATGCATGCATGCATGCATAAGTGATACATTTTTGATAGTCATTCAGTGCCTCTTTCGATTACAGTATTTCTGGAAAATTGGAAATTTCATATGTCGGTCCCACTGTAGCTGCAGACTTCCAGCAGATTATGGTCTGGGTCTCGGAAATACAGTAAACGATTTTATGGGGCCAAGCGCCCCAGTTGTGGCCGCTGGGCCTTCTTCAATGCTGACCCCACAAACCAGTAAGAAAGCGAATTTCGGGGGGGGGGGAGGCTGAAATTCCATCAAGGGCCATTCACAACATCACAATAATAATAATAATTTTTCCAACGCCTTTTTAACAAAATAGATTTTTTAAGTGTTACAACTATTCAATTCATTGTTAAAAATAACACTTAAAGTTAAAAAAAACCAAAAAACCACAAGAAACACCAGAACCTGATAGTAAGATTCAACATCTAATAACAATAACAAAAATGTTATTTAAAATAAATTTTATTTTTTAAAAAATAAATTTAAAAATCCAATTTTTAAAAAAGAATTCATTGCAGCCCCTACCCTAACCTTCAGGTGTTCCACCAGCTGTTCCAGAGGCATCTCTTGTGACAAGGCAGATGTCCAAAGATCCAGGGGTCGGTCTGTGGGCTCTGGATTCAAATCCTTCCCCACCCAGAGGTTGAACTTCTGATGGCTAAAATGCAGAGCTGGGCAGTTTCCCTGCGAATTAATTCATTTTCACCTCTTTTTTTTGTTATTGTTTGTCAAAAAAATGCAATAAAGATTTTTTAAAAATAATTTTACTCTCGGTTCTGTGTATTTTCTTTTTTCTTTTTCTTTTATCAGTATGTTCTGTCCTACTCTTTTCATTTCCATTTTTTCCTTAAACGCATTACTTTGTTTTTGGTATACATGGGTGTAAGGATTAATTCATTTTCACCCTTTAGGACGGTTAAAAGGTAAGGGTAAAGGGAGCACTGACCATTAGGTCCAGTCATGGCCGACTCTGGGGTTGCGGTGCTCATCTCACTTTATTGGCCGAGGGAGCTTCCGGGTCATGTGGCCAGCATAACTAAGCCGCTTCTGGCGAACCAGAGTAGCGCATGGAAACGCCGTTTACCTTCCCACCGGAGCAGTACCTATTTATCTACTTGCACTTTGACGTACTTTCGAACTGTTAGGTTGGCAGGAGCAGGGACCGAGCAACGGAAGCTCACCCCTTCGCGGGGATTCGAACCGCCGACCTTCTGATCAGCGTCCTAGGCTCTGTGGTTTAACCCACAGCGCCACCCGCGTCCCTTATTGTTTCTAAAAAAATATTTTTAAAAATGCACTAAGGATTCTTTTTTAAAAAAGGATTTTGCTCTCCAAAGAGACCGTCAATCCCTCAAACAAAAGCAATCTTTTATATTATTTTCCTTTCCCTTTTTTTCTTAAACAAAATTACTTTATTTCTCGCTTATGTGGGTATAAGGATTAATTTATTTTCACTTTTTTGTTATTGTTTGTAAATTTTTAAAAAATGCAATAGACTATTTTGTAAAAAAAGAAAATAATTTTGCTCTCTAATGAGACCGTCAATCCGTCAAACGAAAACAATCTTTTATATTCTTTTTCTTTTCCATCTTTTCTTAAATGCATTACTTTATTTTTTATATATGTGGGTGTAAGGATTAATTTATTTTCACCTTTTTTTAGTGGTTGTTTATAAATTAAGAAAAAATGCAATAAATTTTTTATTTTACTTTTAAAAATAATTTTGCTCCCTAAAACAACAGCGATCCTCCATACTATAAAATAAAAAAATCTTGGGAGATGATAAATGGGTGGCCATTCCCATCACCTGAAAGGAAACGATTTCCATGCCCAGGACCCAGATTTTTTTAAATGAAAATCGGATTTTTAAAATTCAATGAGGTGTTTTTAAAAAAAATATTAAATTGGTTTTTAAAGATTTTTTTGAAAACTGCCATTTGAAGGTGAATTATCCTCTAACGAGACCGCTGATCCCTCAAACAAAAGTGATCCTCCAGAGACCGAGCTATCAAATAAATAAAATTTTGTACATCCCTAATCGCTATCCTAAACCCCTATCCCTATCCGTAACCCCTAGTCCTAGCCCAGTTAGCGCGGAGAAAAGCGAGCGCTCGGCTGCCCTCTTTGGGTACCCGAGGCGACTGTTGGATGATGCGCCTCCGCCCCCGAGCGTGCCGTCAGCGAGCGGAGGGGGCGAGGGGGGGGGGCTGCCGAGGCTTACAGCGGATAAAAACGGGGCCAGACCGGGCTGGGGGCTAGAGGAGGCGCGCCGGGGTCGCGGGGGCGAGCGCGGAGCGTGGACGTTGCAGGCCGCTAGCCATCTACGCGCCCTCGCCGCTGAGTCGCACGGCGCGCCTCTCCTTCCCTCCTGGCTCCCCATTCTTGATGCGCCCGGCTCGGCGGCGGCGCGGGGCTAGCCGCTCCCGTGGGGGGAGGCAAGGAGGGACGAGCAACGGCGGCGGCGGCAAATCCTAGGCTGCCGCGTGGGCGCGCTCGCTTTGGAGAGGACCGGTAGGAAAGGTGGGACCGGACGCGCGTTTGGCGCATCCGAAAGGAGAGAATTCGGTGGGGGCGGGGGTTGGGGCATATGAACCCAAACCGGTGTGGAGCGGGGGTAGCGGCTCCAGTAGGAGGGGGGCCGAGGCGGGATGAGCACCCGCGGCGGTTCCTAGGGTGCCGCTTGGGCGCGCTCGCTTTGGAGAGGACCAGTCGCTGGCAAGGTGGGAACGGACGCGCGTCTGGCGCAGTCAGGCGCCGCAGGATCCGAAAGGAGAGAATTCGGAGTTGCTGGGTGGGTGCGGGGCGGCGGCGGAGCATGTGGACCCAAACCGGCGCCCCCTCGGTCTTCCCCAGCTCTTTCCCACGGGGTCTTTTGCGCCGCAGGATGCCAGGAACTCTCTGCCCCACAAGTCCTGGGTGGAACCCCGAGCTGTGGGAGCAGTTCCTCGAGGGGGCAAGAAAGAAAGGCACCCCAAGCTCGCCGCCATTCACACGCGCGCTGCACCCTTTCGCCTGCCCAGAGACCGTGCGCGCGTCAGGGCGTTCCGACGGGTGCGGCCGCATCCTGCGCGAGGAACCAAGCGACCCGAGGGGGGGAGCCGCTTGGGACGCGGCGCAAAATCCCCTCTTCTTGGGAGACTCGGCTCTGTGTAGGTCACACGTGACGACGGGACACGTGGCTCTTTTGCAGGCCGGCTCAAGGCGGAGGGCAGGGTGGGGGTGGCTGGGCGCTTAAATCCGCGTGTGCTGAATTATTTTTATTCATAAACTTAATAATGCAAACCCACTGGGCAATAACAAAAGTTCCTTTAGAAACACCATTTACAAAGACTCTTAGTTTAGTCTCTAGAAATGTGCTATAACATGAAAGAATAATCGATGATCTATGAGGCAAATGACTAATAATTATAAATATCTTTATTAATGTGGAATTAAGTGTTATAACCTGTACAATGCAATTGTAGTTAATACAAGGCAGTTTCCTATTTGGAATAATAATAATAATTTATCATTTCTACCCTGCCCATCTGGCTGCATATCCCCAGCCACTCTGGACGGCTTCCAAAAAATATTAAAATATTAAAATATTAAAATGTCCTTCAGATATTAAAAGCTTCCCTAAACACGGCTTCCTTCAGATGTCTCCTAAAAGTCTGGTAGTTGTTTTTTTGTTTTTTCCTTTGACATCTGGTGGGTGGGCGTGCCACTACAGAGAAGGCCCTTTGCCTGGATCCCTGTAACTTCGCTTCCCGCAGTGAGGGAACCGCCAGAAGGCCCTCGGCGCTGGAATAATAAAATAATAAATAAAATAAATAAATAAATAAACAGGAATAATAAAAGCCTTTTTTACAGAAAGGTTCGGCCTTGCTGGCATCCTCCGAATATTGACAAGCAGAGTGAGGTTTGATGGCGTTTTTTTATATAGTATCAATATCACCATTGTAGTCCACACTGTTCATGGGGACAGCAGACCTTCGTGTCCTTGTGACACTTAGTGAGTGTAAAATATGGTATTTCTAGTAATATGTCCCATTCATAAATAATGCCAATATTATACACGCCTGTCCATAAAAAAATTAATCAACAGGACTAATTATATTAATGCATCTACCCAATACCCATTCAATTGTATAATTTTATTGCAATTCATTGTACTGTATACTGTGTATACAAACAGCACACAAACATGATCTAAATTACAATACTTTTATTTGTTTTTTTATCTTATATTTTGGAAATGTGCATCCAGTTGTTTTTCTTTTAAATTTTTCCGGGGACCCCCCAAGAGAGTGGGGCCCTAAGCTAGAGCTTGTTGAGCTTATACATAAATCCAGCACTGGCTGATGGCTGACGCAAATATTCATTTGTTCATTCAAACGGCATGTGGGTCGCAGCATCTGGCCGCCCTAACGCCTCTTCTCTGGCTGGTTCTTTTTCAGGTGAGTAGGAAATGGCCTTGGCAGACCCCGCCGGTGGCAGTGCCCAACCCGGCTCAGACTTCCTGGAGATTGTGGAGCTGAACGTTGGCGGTCAAGTCTACCTGACTCGCCGCAGCACTCTGCTGAGCGTCCCTAACTCGTTGCTCTGGGAGATGTTTGCCCACAACGGTGCCCGGCCCTTGGCCCGCGACAGCAAGAACCGCGTCTTCATCGACCGAGACGGTTTCCTCTTCCGCTACATCCTCGACTACATGAGAGACCGGTGCCTCGTGCTGCCGGAAAACTTCCCGGAGAGGGGCCGGCTGCGGCGCGAAGCCGAGTACTTCCAACTCCCTGAGCTGGCCCGGACATTGGCGCCCAAAACCGGCCAGCAGGACTCAGACGAGGAGGGCCAAAGTGACTCCGAGGATCTTTCCCCTGGGCCTGACGCCCCGGGAATCTTGCCTGACGGACAAAGCACAAGGATACCCGGCTTCATCACCATCGCCTACCGGGGCTCGTATGCCCTGGGCCGGGATGGCCAAGCAGACGCCAAATTTCGCCGGGTGGCAAGGATCACGGTCTGCGGCAAGACAGCACTGGCCAGGGAGGTCTTCGGTGAGGCGCTAAACGAGAGTCGGGACCCCGACCGGGCGCCGGGGCGCTACACGTCTCGCTACTACCTCAAGTTCACATTCCTGGAGCAAGCCTTTGACCGGCTGGCCGGCGCCGGGTTCCAGATGGTGGCCAGCAATTCGACGGGGACCTGCACCGTCGAGCCGGCGGACGGCAAGATCTGGACCTCGTACGCCGAATACGTCTTCTACCGTGAGTGACGCTCCAGCCGAGCCGAACCCAAACACACGCAAAAGCGACCCTCCCTCGATCCTCCCTGTAGAGTGTAGACAAACCAACAAACCCTCTGGCCTCTCCTCCCTCGCCTCCCAAACCGAACCCTCTCTGGAGCCTTCAGAGTAGCGCGACCGTCCTCCCCGGCTTTCTCTGAATCATGGACTTGGACGCTGTGACAAGTGGGGTGTGTCTGTGGTGATGTATCCATTTTGCCGAGGGGAATTCCCTCGGATCGCCAAACCGGGATGCCTGCCAGGAATATAGGAGCAAAACGGTGGTCTTGATTCGAAAGACAGTTGCAACAGGACTCGCACCCCAAACAAAGGGAACAAAGTTCTCCCTTTCTCCCCTGGGGAAGCACCATGCACCTATCACAGATACATCATGCATATGTCATGTAAAGGGGGGGGAATCCAGGGTGAGTGACTCCATGACAGCCTAGCTGTCCCCCATGGGTCCATGCGGTCAGTAAAAGGAGGAAGTCCCAGCCCGGTAATTTGGAGCAAAACAGTGGTCAGTAGACCATGATTCTTTTTTTTTTTTAAAGAAACATTTATTAAGGTTTTACAAAAAACATAGGTTTACAGAATAGAGAAAATTAAAACAAAAATTAACAAACTAAAAAGCACACATAGAAAAAAAAGAAGAAAAAGATACAAAATGCAAAAAACAAATAGCTAGAAAGAAAAAATTTAAAATATATATCAATTTTTCAATATCTTTAGGCTCGTTTACTTATTTCCTTGACCTCCTCACACCTCCCCTTTTTGTATTCCCATTTACAAAAACATTTCAGCAAATCCTTACCCTCTTTCATTTATCTTTACTCTATAACTTAACCTATTGTAACTATATATTTTCATCTATTATCAATCCGTATTTGCATATTCTTGTTAATCTTGTTACCAATACCACTTATTTTCAATCCAACATCATTTTAACTTTCATTGATTTTATAGTATTTCTGCAAATAGTCTTTAAATTTCTTCCAATCTTCTTCCACCAACTCTTCTCCCTGGTCTCGGATTCTGCCAGTCATTTCTGCCAATTCCATATAGTCTATCACCTTCATCTGCCACTCTTCCAGTGTGGGTAAATCTTGTGTCTTCCAATACTTTGCAATCAGTATTCTTGCTGCTGTTGTTGCATACATAAAAAAAGTTCTATCCTTCTTTGGCACCAATTGGCCGACTATGCCCAAGAGGAAGGCCTCTGGTTTCTTCAGGAAGGTATATTTAAATACCTTTTTCATTTCATTATAGATCATCTCCCAGAAAGCCTTAATCTTTGGGCACGTCCACCAAAGGTGAAAGAATGTACCTTCAGTTTCTTTACATTTCCAACATTTATTATCGGGCAAATGATAGATTTTTGCAAGCTTGACTGGTGTCATGTACCACCTGTATATCATTTTCATAATATTCTCTCTTAAGGCATTGCATGCCGTAAATTTCATACCTGTGGTCCACAACTGTTCCCAGTCAGCAAACATAATGTTATGTCCAACATCTTGTGCCCATTTAATCATAGCAGATTTAACCATTTCATCTTGAGTGTTCCATTTTAACAGCAAGTTATACATTCTTGAAAGTATCTTAGTTTTGGGATCTAACAGTTCTGTTTCCAACTTAGATTTTTCCACCTGGAAGCCAATTTTTTTGTCCAAATTATATACCTCTCTTATTGGATAATAATGAAGCCAATCTCGCACTTTGTCTTTTAATTTCTCAAAAACTCTGCAATTTCAATTTGTCTCCTCTTGCTCCAAAATTTCCCAATATTTCGGCCACTTGGCCTCCATATTGAGCTTTTTCTGAGCCTTTGCCTCCATCTGTGACAACCACCTTTGGGGTTTTATTTTCAAGTAAGTCTTTATATCTTATCCAGACATTAAACAATGCTTTCCTGACAATATGGTTTTTAAATGCTTTATGTGCTTTAACCTTGTCGTACCACAAATATGCATGCCACCCAAAAACATTATTAAAACCTTCTAAATCCAAAATGTCTGTGTTCTCAAGAAGCAGCCATTCTTTCAACCAGCAGAATGCTGCTGATTCATAATAAAGTTTAAGGTCTGGCAGGGCAAATCCACCTCTTTCCTTTGCATCAGTTAGTATTTTAAATTTTATTCTGGGCTTCTTGCCCTGCCAGACAAATCTAGAAATGTCTCTCTGCCACTTCTTGAAACAGTCCATTTTGTCCAGAATTTGTAATGATTGAAACAAAAACAACATTCTTGGCAATACATTCATTTTTATCGCAGCAATTCGACCCAACAAGGAAAGCTTCAAATTTGACCATATTTCTAAGTCCTTTTTCACTTCTGACCAACATTTTTCATAGTTGTCTTTAAATAAATGCCCATTTTTAGCTGTCATGTTAATCCCCAGGTATTTCACTCTCTTGACCACTGTTAAACCTGTCTCATTCTGAAACCTCTCTTTCTCAATCGGTGTTAAATTTTTCTCAAGGACTTTAGTTTTTAACTTATTCAACTTAAATCCTGCCACATGACCAAATTCTTGAATCAGTTCTAATACTCTTTTAATACTAGATTCTGGCTCCTGTATAGTCAATACTAAATCATCTGCAAAAGCTTTCAATTTATATTGTTTAGCTCCGACCTTTATACCTTTGATCAGATGGTCCCTTCTAATCATATTTAACAGAACCTCCAGGACCGAAATGAAGAGCAATGGGGAAATTGAGCAGCCTTGTCGTGTCCCTTTCTCTATCTTGAATTCCTCTGTCACCACATTGTTAACTATTAATTTCGCCTTTTCTTCTGAATAAATTGCACTTATAGCATTTTCAAACCCTTGACCAACCCCCATCCCCTGAAGATTTTTCTTCATAAAGCTCCAAGAAATATTATCAAAGGCTTTCTCCGCATCCACAAAAATTAAAACTGCTTTAGTGTTGATGTCCACTTATAACTTCTCCAAAATATTGATTATATTCCTCGTGTTGTCAGACAAGTGTCTGCCTGGGAGAAAGCCAGCTTGGTCCTTGTGTATCTCTTCCACTAATACTTTTTTTAATCTTTTGGCCAAAATGTCAGCAAATATTTTGTAATCCACATTAAGCAGGGATATGGGTCGGTAATTCCTGAGTTGTGTCTTTTCAGACTCAGTTTTCGGTATAAGTGTAATATATGCTTCTTTCCACGACTGGCACTTTCCCCCCCTCCAAAATTTCATTGCAAACCTCCTTTAGTGGTTGAATTATCCAGTCCTTCAAAGTTCTATAATATTTTGAGGTTAAACCATCCGGCCCTGGAGATTTGCCCAACTGCATATTCTGAATGGCACCTTCTACCTCCTGTTCTGTAATTTTGTAGTTCAGCATTATCTTATTTTCTTGAGAGATTTTTTGTAATCCATTTGATTTCAAAAATTGGTCTATGTCAAACTCTTTCTGAGGCCCTTGTGTATATAACTGTTTAAAGTACCTCGGGAAACATTTTCTTATTTCCACTGGATTCTGAATGTTCTTTCCTTCCACTTCCAAATTAGTAATAGTGTTAAGCTTTTGTCTTTTTTTCATTTGCCAGGCTAACAGTTTCCCACATTTATTAGCCGATTCAAAAGTCCTTTGTCTCATTTGTTTAATTTTCCATTCAATTTCCTGATTCATCATCTTCATATAGTGCACTTGATGTAACTTTATTTCTCTCAGAATCTCTTGTGAATCTCTCAGTTTCTTCTCGCCCTTTTTTATTTTTTCCAAAACCTTTTTTCTCTCTCGTTTTGAGCTCTCTTCTTTATTGAATTCTGTTGAATCAGAAACCCCCTCATAACTGCTTTACTTGCGTCCCAGATTACTCTTTTTTCAATGGTAGTGTTCAAATTTATCTCAAAATAGTCTCTCAAGGTTTTTTGGGCCTTCTTAATAACCTCTTGATCTCTAAACAAGGTGTCACTCATCCTCCATCTGAAGGAACCGGTTGGTGTTAATTTCATCTCCATTTTCACGGCATTATGGTCGGAGCACGTTTTAGGGCAGATCTCTACTTTCCGGGTCTTAGGTGCCAGTCCTCTAGTTATCCAAATTTGGTCAATTCTTGTCCACGTCATTTTGGCTTCAGAAAAGAAGGTTCCCTCTCTACCCAAGGGATTCCTAGTTCTCCAGATGTCAATCAAATCCATATTGTCAGTCAATTCAAAAAATGTTTTTGGTAGTCTGCCATCTTTAGTAACTACCTGTCTCTGCGACTTGTCCATGTTTGTGGATACCACTCCATTCATATCTCCCATCAAAATAATGTTGTAGTCCATATAATCTAGCAAAGTCTCGTGCAACTTCTTAAAAAATTCAGATTTCCCCTCATTCAGTGCATATACTCCTACTATCAAAAATTTTTCTCCTTGTGTTTGAATTTCAATTGCTACAAATCTTCCTTGATCATCTTTAAAGACAAATTTCGGTGTTAGGCTCTCTTTTGCATAAATAACTACTCCTCGCTTTTTAACCTTGTCTGATGAAATAAACTCTTGGCCCAGTCTTTTATTAATCAATATTTTCCTGTGTAGCCTTATCACATGTGTTTCCTGTAAACAAATCAAGTCCAATTGTTCCTTTTTCAATAAGTGAAACACTTTCTTCCTTTTCTCCGGGGAGTTAAGTCCATGAATATTCCAACTTAATAGTTGCAGAGACATGGTGTATTTAACTTGCTGTTCCTCCAACTGCTCCCAATAAATCCTATTGTTCTGACGGTGGTATCACTTTCTCTAACTTGTCCAGTCCCAAAGGTAGTGATACTTTGTATAGTATTCCTGGTCTTAGGGCTCTTGGCTCTTCTTCGACTCCTTTTTGCAGGTCTTCTCCGTGATCTCTCAGAAATTTATCTTTATCCTCCACTGATCTTATTTTAAACTTTTTACCTTTAAAGGTAAAAGATAGTCCTTGGGGAAATTCCCACCTAAAGATGGTTCTATTTTCTTTCAGCAGGGCCACCAAATCTCCGTAGT